TTAGAAAATGCCATGAATATCGATGCGAGTTCCATTACAATGATTTGCGTATATCGTTGTATGTGCATGTGAACTAATTTATATCCACTTGAAAACGTATCCATCTTTATCGCTATCGTTCTCCGCTTTTGTGAATGTATTTTCATCGAAAACATCGGTAAGCGAATCGAAGTGGAATGTACATACGGTTTGCATTTTTGTTCTTGTTGCTCTCTTTCTCGTATTCACTTTTGAGATATATTCAATTGGTTCGTTCCAATCATTTGCACAATCGTTAATCGGTAATCTGTTGGCAACATTTTGTTGTGCTTTTGTTGCGAAATGTTGGTGTGCAAATTAATAATAAAAAAAAACCGAGCGTAAAGAACAGAATTTATTCCTGCCATTTGTTTAAAAAAATCTCGATATGCTAGCTGAATCATGTCAATTTTTCAAGGACCAGAACATTTGTTCGTGCTGCTGTTTTGCAAAATGTTTCAATTCAACGAGCTTTTATATGCGATTTTTTTACGCTTTCTTCAATTCCATTTTTTTGTTCAACCAAATGAAAAACAAAACCACTTGAACCATATGTGCAGTACAGTAGTGCAAACCCGTGTACAAAAAAAGTGACTGACTATTTTGGGACAAACTGACTGACTATTGACTGTAAAAACAAGCAACCTTAGTTAAATTTAGTTAACTTCAATCAATTAAAGTAAGCTATGGTTAACTGCAACAGCTAACTATAGTTGACAATAATCATAGTCACCCGATAGTCAAAACGTCCCAAAATAATCGCCTGACTGACTGAGTAACTATAGTCGATTGTTTTCCATACAAAATTTTAAAATTCATGAATATAGCTAACTATAGTCACTTACAGTCAATAGTAACTTAGTCACTTTTTTTCCACTCGGGAAGTATAGTACATGTGTAAATGTAGAAAATTGCTGAATAATGGTCAATTTATTTGCATCATTAAAAGTAAATGTGAATTGTAGAGTGTTTTAAAATTTTTTTTTGAAATATTGCCAAAACGCAATCTTTTTTATCTATTTTATGATACTTGAAACTCTGATACATATTTTTTTTATTATAACGAATAAAACAAACGCAAACAAGAGTTGACCAGTAATCGAAAAAAATGAAAGAGAGCAAATATACTAGGAATAATGAATTTTAAATTCAATGAGTAATCAATTTTAGTTAATTTATATGCGATAAACGGGATCTAGCTTGTTATGTACATAATGATTGCTAGTTTAAGCGACGTACAAATTGTATAACATAGTATTTATTGAACAGATGTGTTAATGAATAAAGTGTGAAACAACTGCATCCTTTTGTTCAATGCATTCATAAGACCACTTGATTTTCGCATACAAATCACATCTGGTTATACATAGGTTGATGCATGAAGAATGAAGAACACAAGATGAATCGAGATTGATCCGAAATAACGATGGTAATATGTTGAATTTGACATGTATGCAATTCACCATATTAAAATCTATGCATTTAAATTGAGTTCAAAATGATACAAAAATAGTTCATAATATGCATACGTTCCAATGAATAACAAAACAATATTAAAATTTAGTCGGAAAATCCTATTAAAAAATAGTGTGTATGTGTGTATATCGAAGGTGAATTCTGTAGGAATTTCACCGTGCCATTGTACGCGTAATACCACATTGAGTAATACACATACGTTGGTGCGATGGGCGGCGGAGTTGTTTTAACTTAATAACAATATTTTGGTGTAAAATGAAAAAATCTAATGTAATTTGCCCGTTCGCTCACTTTTTCCTTTTAAACTCTATAAAACAACAACAACACCACCAAACCAAATATGCATACTAGCAGTTACGGAAATTGGATTCGAGTTTTCATTTCAACTCTATTATGCATAAATCTATATACATTGGAAATTAGATCGCCACTCTTTATTTCACTTTCTCGTCGGTCAAAATCAAAAGCTTCAAAAGCGTGAAGTATAAAAGGGCAACAGCAGCATCAGCATTCGAAAAAAAAACACACACGAATGATTGCACGTGCTGTGCAAAATTGAATATAAGCCGCTGAGATTGAAATGGATGTTTTATGATGAAGAAAAAAAACGCATAAACTCGATAATCTAATATTAAAATATTGTGATATGAAGCCCGAAAAGTTATTGATTTTGATGAGATTGCCTCGAATGGAAAACTTCCAAATTCGAGTTCAATCGATTCACTTTGAATCCCGTACGATATAGATGGGGAGGAAAAAGCAACGAGAAGTGAAAATTTGTTTTATGTTTGCATTTTTTTTGGGATTTTCGAATTAAAGAATAAAAAAAAGAAGGAATAAGATGTGGGAAAGAATTGATCTCGTTTGCCCCATAAAATGGGCACTGAATGTACCATTCATTATATTTATTATCATCAAAATCTTATTTATATAGCAAAAATTTTGTCGGACCAAAGAAACATATTCTATCATTTCATATCTTGATTTTTCTTTCTTCGGCTCTCTCTCTCTCTCTCTCTCTCTCTCTCTCTCTCTCTATTGCTCCGTTCGTTGATGTGCACCAATGGCAAGAAAGCTTCACATATTTTCACACAACTTTAACATTTTCTTGAAATTGACGACGATCATGATTGTGCTCCTTCATATACCCGAAATGCTTTCAGAAGTTTAAAATTACCAACTCGTTAGATGTTTGTTTGTTGATACATTAGTTATGTTAGAATTGCAAACTTTTGCCCCCGTAAATATTCTCGACTTTTTGCCCATGCACTATTTTAAATATTTATTTCAACTAATAAAACATTTGTTAACCGAACACACAGAGAATGATTATATAGTTTCAATACCACACATACACCATCGAATATTTGAACATAGACATGCAAAACTTTTGCATTTACAAAATCATTATGGGCCATAAGTTGACCATGAATATTATAACAACACCAATAAGCATATTCAAATCAAAATCGAATTTAAACATAAAGTGTAATCAACAGAATAAACACAAACCCATTTAATTACATTTATGTACGGAAAATTGAAAGTTTCGGGCCCCAGCAACAGATTTACCAGTTTTACACAGCATTCGCATGCAATTTCCATTCGAAAAATGAATTCGTTTGATCACATTTCATTGCAAATTCTTTATGAAAAATCGACACGCAAATGTTACCTGCCGCATTTGATGTGCACGTATATGCAAAAGCATTCAACAAACATTTTCCGGAATTTTTGTTTTTAATTTTCATTTGCGGAAGTAAATTTTTCGACAGTACACAAACAACCAAATTAATTATAGAATCGGACTAAAAAATGAGAGAAGGACAGATAGATATAAAGAGCGAGCGATTTGTTTTGAATTCACCATGAACGCGCAATGTGTTAGATTTCTGAATATTATACGTTTTGAGAGGTAGCGTAAGCGCTTAGCATCTTTGGCATTAGATGCACTTTTAGTTGAATTTTAACAGTGAAGCAATAATGTTTGAACCGATTAAAACTCAATTGCTTATCAATTGCTCGACGTATCAACATTCAATATCTGTGTGTGTTTGTATCTATTTAAAAGCTCGGTATTAGTGTGTGTGGCTGTATATGACAAAAAATATTGAAGGGAAGCCAATTTACAGCATGTCACATTCAAGTGACATAATATGTTTCTAAATTGAAATATACTAAATGTAGGATGAACGATTCTGCATGTCGGAGATAATAGTTGTAGGCGTTATATAAACAATCTTAAACCAATTCACAAGCACATCACAATTATATACACAATGCCAGACTATGTTCGAGAGGTTGTGTGTGTGTGCGTGTGAGTGTTTGTCTATATATATTTTGATAAGAAATTTTATCCGAATAGATCGAAAGATGATGACTAAGTCGAGAAGCGTTCGTGCATAAGAACGACACATCTAGACAAAGAGGAAACAGAGCAAAACTTGGAAGATTTTGTTGAATTTTCTTCTTCTCTGAAGCTTCAATTAAAATAATTAAAAAAGCATATTTTCCATTTCTGTGTCAGATTGCTTCGTTTATGCCTAAATTTTATTAAATTTTTTCCCTTTGGTTTTATTTGTTCGTCTATTTACTCTTCTTTGGGAATAATTTGGTGTGTGCTTGTGCAATTGTTTGTTTTTCGCAGTGAAAACGGAGGCCACCATCACAAAATGGCTGGGTTTCAAATAAATGAAGCGTAACATTGAAGTGTTTGAGTTAGTGCGTGCGTGCGTGCGTGCAAGCATTTGAGCGTGAGCAATTGCGCTCTCTCTCTCTCTCATTCCCATCAATATGATGATTGTATGGAACGTAAATGAAATCGAAATGAATACACACTGAAGTATCTCTCACTCTCTCTGGTTGTGAATTAATTAAGATTTTTATTATGAACCCGCAAGTGTTTCAACACTTCTAGCGAACAACTGAGTAAGCGCGCGTATTCATTTATTGTTATTTTAGTTTGCCGCTTGCATTTAATCTACAAAATTGGTCGATAAGACGATACATTTCGATTCAAATCGTTTTTTTCATCAGTACTACTTTGTAACGGTCATTATAAGTTTCTATACAAGAAAGAGATAACAACGATCGACACACATTTCTGGTCTGTGTGTTTTTTTTTTGTATATAAACACTTGTCAGTTTCATTCAACGACGCAAATTGAAATGTTTTAAATCCAGAGCGCGTGCGCTTTATACTTTTCCATTTTAAATGATGTACACTGATTATTAAGTATAAGTATTTTGTTGTTGTTGTTGATATCATCAATCGTGGAATTTCTTTTATTTGCCCTTTTTGGTTTAGTTCGTTGAAACGTCAAATCAATTAAAGAGAATAAAACCGAGCTCAAAAATAGAAAGAAAAAAACAGCTGTAGCGAGACAAATTTAATTCGTAACTTTGTGTTTGTTTATTTTTATAAAAAAAAGTTGTGTTATGAAAGGGTGTTTCATTTATATTTTATTAAAACCAATAAATTGATCAATCTAAGGTTATTTCGAGAGATAAAAAAAAGTTATGGTGGTAATCAATGTCATTTTGTTTCGTTAAATGAAACAATTGAATGGTGACAATATTTACACACTGACAAACTGGACAAATTGAATCCATTATTATTTGAGTCGGATGAAGTGTTGTGAGTGTCGTGTATACATTCATTCACAATTCAAAAATAACTCGTGAAAATAAAGTCGTGATAGCAGCAATTGTGTGTGTGTGCCACTATTAGACCGAAATCGGGCGAATGTGGGATCAAAAAATAAATAAATAAATAAACGAACGAAAGACATGAAAACGTTTCCATTTTCTATTGATGATCCAACAATAATTAATCAATTAAAAATTGTTTGTTTAGAATGTGTGGGGATTCTATTATTGTTTGAGTGTGTGAAAGTACGTGCAAAGGGATAAACATAAATATTGAATAAATAAAAGCGAAGGGTTTTCAATCAACATAAGCTCAACCCACTCAATTATATATGTAACAAAAGAATTACGCACAAATGCGAAACGAACGGAATACAATAACGGAATAATCAAACATCAATGAAAATATTGAAACGAATTGAATTGGATCGCATTGAACACGAAAATATAAATTATAACTATCATGACGAAAAATACAGCCAATACAACGATTACAAAACTTCTTTTGCTCAACGTTCGAGATTTGCTACGGCAACAAACATGTGGCGATGCCCATTCTCAGGTAAAATACATTCAACGCTTGATGTGTGCGTGTATTCTATTTTTTTTTAAATATTCTTGTTCCTCTCTGTGTATGGCCCACGACAAAAATCACCACAAAACCCAAAATAAACTTGTGAATAAGGAATGCGATATTATTTAGTTGTTTTCCACTCTCTCGCATTGTGAATACCAGTTGGGAATACGATCACGAATAATTACGCATTCGTGTGTGTTCAGAGGGTAAACATTGCATTATTACACAAATAAAGCGCACAACTTTTCGACTTTAATCCAGAAAGCACAACAACAAAAGCATTATCACACCATAACAACAATTACAGCAACCATTCTCACGTAGTTTATACGTGTAGCAGGACGTCATAAATGTATAATTGTTCAAAGGCATATTTTCATATAAAGGATAATACCATTTAACATTTTACTGTTTATATATCCCACTGAATTTCTTCCGTTTTCTCGCTCTTTGTTCTTTTAATTACATTTTAGCGATATTCTCTGACTCACTCATTCACACTCTCGCTCTGACTCTTGCGCTTTATATTTTTTTTATCAATTTGCACCATTCAAATTTAAGCTAAAAGCTTTTTGCTTTGCGTAATTTTCACGCTTGGTGAGAATGAAGAATTTTTCAATTCATTCTTTGGCAAAATGGAGGAAAACAAACGGGATAGATAGCACATGGCCATATATACAAAAGAACATGATAGAATAAGAAACGAATAATAACATTGAGCGAATAAATAAAATTGTTCATTTGAATATTTTCATAACAATCGTAGCCTTTTAAATCGAAACACAATGGAGCGCCACCACTTTCCGTGAAAAAAAATCATCTGTCAAAAGCACATCATCTCAAATATAACAAAGACTCAGCTGTTTTAATCAAATCACAACGCTTTTTCAAGTGATGCTTTTCCATTTCATTGCCGGCTGTATACTTTCTTTCTTCGTCGTCAGATTGCAATAAGTCTTCGTTTTAAAAGACAAAAAAGCCAAATACGTTCACTTTCAGTTTGACTCATATTTATTAAACGTATGAAGTCACCTTCACTGCAAAGAAGAAGAAAAATGATAATCTATACAGAGAATCGCGCACTCAAAGCCCTTGAAGTTGTAGAAAAGCTGCGCTATCATCATATATTTTATTTTTTTTGATTGAAAATATAATGCAAAACAATTTATAACACATACAATTTAAAATGTATCGTGGACATGGTCAGTTACCTGTATAATATGCAAAAATGTAGAAAACTTGACTTTCGTATTGAGATTCAACAGAGAATATGACAGAAGGTGAATACAATAGAGAAGAAGATGAACAAAAAATGGTTTAGTTTTCTTGTGTAGTAATTGTGTATCATAACTTTATTTATACTTATTTGCTTTGGCATGCAAGACTTTGGTGCATGGTGTATACTAAAGGCTATACAACATTTCAGCATATTTCCGTATTACGGAAGTTTCTTTGTTATTTGCGGGGATTATTTATGTTTCACTTTGACACGAGCAAAACAAAACAAAAAATGAGAAGAAAAAAAATCGCTACAACAAACGGTAGCCCGCGACAAAAAGAAATGAGGTAGTGTAATTGTGCCATGTTTGTTTACAGCGTTCAACGTGATGACGATGTCACCCATTCCACATATTGTTGTCATTGGCACTTTTTTTGTCATGCATTTCTCTTAAAATATCATTATCACAACCATAAATAAGGTCAATTCAGCAAATTACCCATTTTCAATGTGATTTTCATGTGCGACGATTTTCTCTCATTCACTCACTCAATCCTTCTTGCTCTTTTCTCTCTGAAACACTTTCCGCGTAGCTTAATTATGGTATACATGCAGAATAATTGGTATAGCAGGATTTTATCCGCCGTCATTTTTTTTGAATGATTGATGTTAAGTGACTAATTGCGTGTTAGTTAAAGTTCAATCGATATAGTCATAAAGCATTTGAAGAATGTCAACATTAATTACAGCGTAACGTTTCTTACAAATTTTGTTCATAACATTATTTTTACACACAGTGAGTGCACGCGCAAAACTTCCATTCAAAACGACAAACATTCCAAAGACTAGACAAATGAATTTCATGGATTTCCGAAGAAATTACCGCCTCTCTAATATAGGCAAAATACCAAAGGAAACAAAAGCATTATTACGAACCGAAGATGGCACATCCTTATTATTATTTGGTAATCAATTTTTGTTCTCTAAATGAATTTTAAATTCATAGGCAATTGCCATTTGTGGCAATTTTTTCTTCACAAATGAATCTTTGTGTGTCATGTCGCTCAATTGGTGACAAAGAAAGATTTTCTCCAAAGTAGAATATGAATACACACAAGAGACACTTGAATTGAAACAAAAACCAAACCAAAAAAAAATGTTTTCGAGACGAATAACATCTCGTTAAATAAAATAATTTTCACACATCTTCATTTTATTCTGAGTGTTTTCTGTTTTTTGCACGATTTAATCTCGAAAAGAGCATTATTCTGTGCTATTTTTATCGCTGTATTGTCACGTTTAAAAAAAAAACCGAATGAGAAAAAAAAAACATTCGATCTGTATGTCCCTCACTCATTCACCCAGACAATGTGTCGCTGTATTCGCACGATTTTTCCAAACGATTTGGTATGTGTCGCCGAGACAATGACAAAATAACGATACAATGATGCACATTATTTAACTGATTTGCATAAAACATTGTTTCATTTCGTTGCGATTACGCATATTGTATAAGTGAGTCTTTCATAATACATACCATATACACAACATACATTTTAATAAAATAACCGACTTAAATATCGAAATTAACGAAAATGTGAATTTCGTACATGAAACGAAATGTACATTTGCAAATACATACACATAAATAATATAGTGTATGTATACGAACACAGCCTACTTCCATTTTGCAACCAATATTTTTCCTCCATATACGGTAAAAATGTAAAAACAAGATATATTGCATTTTTCAAAAAAAAAAAATTATCTCTCGCATATGCTTCGCACAAAAACGGTAGAAATTTATATTGTTCGTTGGAGAGAATAATAATAATAAACGGGATATTTTCTTCAACTGACATCAAGCAAGCGAAAAAATAGTGTGTGTGTTTGTGAGAGAGAGAGAGAGAGAGAGAGAGAGAGAGAGAGAATAAGAGAATTTCAAACGTGCGAAGCAATTGAATTCCTGTGAGAATTGCGATATGAGGTGAGATTGTGTAATGCATATTGAATTTCATAATTTCGGTATATTTTCTGCTTAATTTACAACCACACACATACATAGGCTGCGGTTCTCTATACATTGTATATTTGCGACTGTTGTTGAAGTAGAATTATTGTATAATTTGTTGCAATTACTCTTTTCTCTACATAAAATGCTTAAGATTCTCTATGAGTGCCGCAATGTGTGAGATATATTAAATGGCATACGGTTTTTTGGATTTTCTATTACCCCCTTCGCGAAATTATATTTTCCGTCAGTCAACCACAGCTGATTCGCTTCTCATCGTTTATCTTCAGTGAAAAATAAATACGTTTTCATTTATGTGTCGGATATGTGTTTTCAAATGATTAATTTCGAAATAGTTACAAGCTTTTAATATACAAATTGATTGTACGCCGGAATGATTTCAGTATATAGATTTTTCGAAATGAACGCATTTCGTACAACGACCCATCACCAACAGTAACCTGCTTTACCCTCCTGTTGTGAGGATGCGCATCGAATGTACGAACGAAACAATTTAAAAAAACACATTCCGTTCCATCTAATAGAAAATTGTTTTAAATAATTGTGTGTTACTTATATGAAGTTTTGCGCATACAGTCCATGGTAATAATTCGACGTGTACATTTATAAAAAACTAAATTGTTGTTTGGTTCGAATGATGGAAATATAAACGTAGACCAAGCGTTTATAACACTTTTCAAACCAAAGTTATGTATAATCGAAAAAGTTTGTTTCGAAATTTAAAATTAAGTGCATTTTCATTGGAGACCCTTTGATTTATTTCCTATTGCATTTTTTAGTTGTATTCTTGCCCACAATCTGTGTCAGCTACCATTTCGAGATGCGTATGTGTGATAACGGTAGACCAACCACCAGATGAATGAAATATTTAATAGTCAGCTCATGTGCACATAAAATATTTATATCGAACATTGGCCAATAGTTAAAAAAAAATAACACAAGAAACAAGTAGAAGAACGAATCGAACGAACGGATGACTGCATCTATTATGAATGTGTGGTCTTGGTCAATGGAATTTGTACGTATTCCAGAATATTACGAATTATGTTCCTTTTTTTTGTTCGTTTGTACGTTTTTTATTCTCTACACACTCACTTCCCTGTTACCCATCTTCGAAATCCCGACGTCTGAATACAACAAATAGTATCCACTGCTCTATTGAGAATATCAATGAAACGAATTTCAAGATTTCCGCACGTGGGCATAGGGCCATTTTATTTTCATGAGCGCATTATACAACAAATGGAAACATATTGCAATGATTTTGACTGTAATGTCCGTTCGTTTTGGAATCTACGAGCGCTCAACCCACCTTAATATTATAAATAATCGAACGGACTGTGTGAGAATATGGGCAGCAAAACCACAAACCTCTGCAATAGCACCATCCTCGGCATCTCTTCAGTGATCGAACCAAAAAAGAAAACAACAACAGACAAAAGTCAAAATGCGGAAAAATGCTTTTATTTAATAAAAATTGATTCGATGTAATTGATTTATCGTCAAAAATGAATTTGTTGAGAATTTATTTTTGTAGCGAGAATATTTGATGATTTTACACCCAACATAGGCCACAGACAAAAACAAAACGATTCAAAACGATGGTAAACGAAAACAAGCCCTAAACAAATATTATGCTTATTAAATCAAATAATATTATCAAACCGATGTTGAGAGTAACCAGTTGATAAGGGGTTAGCTTTTGATTATGATCAAATTTTCCATCTAATCTTTTTTCATCATATTTCTATCAAAATATTCTTTGAAGCTTCACTTATTCTATTATTAATGTTATCATCATACATACTTGGAGTATTTCACCTTCTATATAATTCAACACAAATAAGAGTGTTGTTTCGCAAGAGTTTTACCACCGTTACATAAATGTAGTGTTGTAAAATTGCATATTCGATGAAAAAAAACGTGAAATTTATCCTTTGGCATTTTTCTTCGTATCCACTTATATCTTTATGGCTGCTTTCAGCATTTTACCGTAGATACGCTGTTGAATGACCGTGAAGATATGATTTTGGTGTGGTTGTCTAGGAGAAATGAATTATTATTTTCATTTTCTCATACACACACATTCAGTCTATCTGTTGCTGACTGGATGTCTCTTGGTTATTTTCTCTTGCAACGAGTTTCGATATTTTGTCTTCAATGTCTTGTAAGACAAGCAATACAAATATATGATGCAGACATTGTCTATATTAAGCTTAAATTTTGTCATCATTTGCATTTCTAATCTTTTTCGTTTTCTTTTTCAATCAATTTAGCATTCTCCACGAAGTTGGATTGAAGCAAACTTTCAGAAGAGAGATTGCGTTAAATTCGTACCTAGCCCAAAAGATGATACAAAGTAAGTATTTGTAAATCGTAACTACCAACCATTACCATCACTACCACCAACTCTACTGCCACAAGCAGCTGTAGTAATCGCCTAATATTTTATATTATATAATATTACTAATAGCATTGCCATGCCGTTAATATTCAAGTATAGATAGAGACCGAAAATGGATGAAATGTGTTTTTTCAAGTATATGAACTGTGAAGAGGCACTTTCGCTTCAAATGAGCTTTTCATTGTAATCAACTGGTAGAAATTCAGTCACCTGCTGCTTTTAGCTACTCAGTCAATCGCAAATATAAAAAAAACACAATACAACACATTATTATAGTTGAATTTTTATCACGTTATCGGTCTAACATATGCTTGACGCCGTTTTGTGAGAGAAATAACAGGTGTATAAATTTGTACCTTTTTGTTCAGATGTTGCTGTGGTCAAGCACGTCAGACACATCCTACGATACCTGGAATTGAGCCCGGTTCACCAGGAGATGTATGGCTACCAAATAAACACACGAGACCGCATCCGACCGATGCATATGGAACAATTGAATTTCAAGGTGGAGCACATCCGACCAAAGCACAGGTAAACTATCAATAATTCAATGTGAAATCAAAGAAACGAGGAGAATTCGAGATGTGAAAATCAAATAGAATGCCAAATTGGATGGCAGAGAGCTGAAAGAAAGAAAGATCGGTGCTCAAAATTTCAAAAGCAAACCGAAAACTAATCGCTTCAATAGTGTGTGTATGCAAAAAGAGCTTTTATGTCATCGACAGATCGATTTAATCATTAAATAAAGATCTAATCGCACGAAAATCGGTGAATAATTGTGTAAATTCAATTTTGTCATACTCTTCCGCTCTTGATTTCATTTTGGTGCTAATTGAATTGCACTCACAGCGAACAAACATGAGCAAGGCACATTAATTTTCGGTAAAAGCGAAAAACTGAAGCGAATAATTCGAATTTTGAGAAGACAGAATGATTAAATACAAAACCGCAAATACATTGTTGACAATACAATATGTTTCAACAAACGCAATCGGCTAATGAATCAATGACGAAGAAATAAATTGAACAAAACGATTACTGAAATGCTGCCGATGGGCACACAAAATTTTATATCGATTGGTAAAAGCACCCACTATTGCCGCCATCACAAACAAACAACAACAAAAACATCCCGAAGAAAAACGTTGTGAACAGAAATATCAGCAGCTTATCTTTTTACATGCTCACAATTCCAATTCGTTCCGAACAATATTTTTGTGATTGAATTTTACTCGCTAATATAAATTTATTGGTGATATCATTGCGAATTGCTAGAACATGCCTGCAGGCTGCTACTGCTATGAGTATTTTTTTTATAGAATTTGGCATACTTTCTATTTTATCCTTCAGCGTTATTCGAAATTGAGCGGTGTCTTTATGCCTTTATGTTTTTTTTACGTTCGTCTCTCGACAAAATGGGAAGAAAGGCAAAATTTGTGGCCAAACATTTGTATAATGGCACGTAAATTATATAAAAATGTCAGCAAAATTGTGCCTGCCAAAATCTATGGTGGTTTTTCTTTTTCATTTTAACCCCTCCCCTAGGGGACGGAAACCATTAGCTAGTTTTTTATATTTCAAGTAAAAACTAGGAAAATTAGAAAAAAACTAGCAAAAACTAGAAAAATTAGCAAAAATTAGCAAAAATTATTTGATCCGCCATTTTGATATTCTGCCATGATTTGGTGACCAAATCAATTTTACAAGTCGACTATTGAAAGAAACAGGTACTTTATGCACGATTTTGTGTTAAAAAAGAATAATTAAACTAATTTTCACTATTATAAGTGTATATTTATTCAAAACACATAAAAATATGTCTGAACAACAAAACGTCAAAATACTTCATTGTGTCAGTACAATCATTTGATTGTCATTTGACAGAACAAAAAACTAGAAAACTAGCAATTTCATAAAGGAATATTAGCATTATTAGATTATTCAAGCAATAAACTAGTAAATTAGCTAAAAACTAGTAAATTAGCTATAAACTAGAAAAACTAGCATTGGTTTCTCTCCCCTAGCCCCTCCCCCTCGCTCTCTATCTCTCTTTTCCTCGCCTGGATTTTCAATTGAATTACTTTTCACACATGCACACATTGCCATTGAATTCGATGATGATGATGATCATGATATAGATATGAATGCATGAAGGCATTTCACTCGACCACATTTCCCTTCATATTCTTTTAACTCGTGTGGCAAATCATGTGCGTGAGCAAATCAAGCAAACATTCATAGTCATAAAGCGGTGATTTTAAAGAAATTGTTTTAAGAGAGAGTTTGAGAGGGAGAGGGTGAGAGAAAATAGCAATAAGCTGACATACGTAGCAAAAAAAACGAATCCAAAACGAATTCCGTTTAAAGCTATACTGAGCTTATGGGCGCTTAGTATCTTATCTTTTTTTCCTCTCACGTAAAAAAATCGTTCTCAACTTTCACATTCACTCCATTTGGTGTATTTTACTTTCTCTTTCATACTCGAGATCATTTTTCTCTTTTTGTATATGTTTTTTGTGTGTGTATATCTGTATTTCGTCCTGTTTTGCTTCATCTTCAAATTCTGATGGTGGTTGCGGCGCCGTCAATGTTGTGCTTTCATGCGTATTTGATGGAATAACGATGACATAAAATCTCGGCATGTATAGTATGTTCGTTTATCGTATGAAACTCGACCCGAATTGTTAGTACAACTTTTTACACGAGAATGGAATTTGGAGCTGCCGAAACTTCTTATCACCGTGCAAGGCGGCAAAGCAAATTTCGAACTTCAGCCAAAACTCAAAAAGGTACGTATATTATATATAAATTAATATCTAGTTCATAATGCAGAAAGATTTATCAAGTGATGGTTGTCCTGTTTAATTCCTCGATTTTTTTTTAAATAAAAGAGTGGTGGAAGCACATCTTAAAAATCGTAACAATAAGTTGGGTGTGGAGAGAGAAAACTTAAATCACAGCGTGTTATATAATTGAACAATTGATGTGTCAAATCTCTTTAAAAAAAATATCCGTGGCTTCTGAACTTCCGTAATCTGCAAGAATTTTTTGTGAAATTGATGGAGTCTGTTTGATAAGGGTAATTCCATCAAGCCACAAAAAGTGCAATTTTTTCATAACGTGGGATCGAAACGTTCACCAATGTTGACTGAAATTTCATCTCTTGAATACACGCCAAATCTTAAAATTCTTATGCAAAAAAAAAATATTTAAACATTCCCATGCTTTCTCGGCCCCATATTTAGGGACAATGACACGCATTGCCAATCTTTTTGTAAGTACCGTAATAATGGTTGCATTTTGTTTTTTATCTTATTTAAAAGACAATGACGATAAAAAACAAAATCGAAAACACTTCAATACCACGACAATTTCACTTTTCATTGACTTTCATACCGATTAATATATAAAAAAAATCGGATCAAAGTTGTTTATATTTTATCGGTTAAGAAGTTATCTCATTGAAAATGTCAACTGACACCTTTTACGCCAATTTAACCGTGTCAATCCAAGGAATTTGCAATTCATTTTGAACGATTCGGTTTTGATAGCTTGTCATAATACGTTCAGATTTTTATAAGATTCTGTATAATTATCTAGATATAAGTTTAAGTGTTTCGTTCGCATGATCGTTTCAATGAGGGTTGGTATATGCAAACTCTTATACATTTACACATACATCGCTTGTAGTTAAACACTCGAACAATTATTATATAAATGAGCAACTTCAAATAGCGGGAGCATTGCAATATGTATTCGAAGAAAAAAAGCAATTTATGTTGCGGAAACCGCAATTCCAAATGTTACTCCTGCTTTCGATGCTAACACGAAACACGCAGCAAGATGACACGCTGCATAAATACCAGAAAATTAATCTAAAAATAGACAACAATTTCTTGGTGGTTTCATTTGAGCTGTGCACAATCGGCGGCGTTTGCCATCGAAACCAAATTTGTGTTGACTTTTATCACCACATTCAAACAAGAAAACTAACGTTATTTTTTCCTCTCTTATGGATCTATTTCAGCTCAACATGAGCTGAACACATGCACACTGTACTATATACATATGATTTACTAATTTTCCGTTTTTCTCTACTCACACACTCATTCGTTCACATTCAATTCCTCAAGTGAGTTTTGCATATTTACAGTGTTGTGTTAGTTTTCGTCTCAAAAAGTCTTGGAGAATTTGTTTCGAGGGTTCGTTTTCATTTCATCATCACATTACGTTAAAAATCATTAGAAATAATTGTAAATGAGCAAAAATTCATTTCGAAACTAAGTGAATGCGGTAAAAGAATTTTTCAGGATGTACTTTTTTTTATTTCCGTGCAACGCTGATGATGACGACGGAAAAACGTGTGTAAGAAAGCAATTTTACAAACAAAAAAAAAACGTGCACCTACAAACAAACACGTCAAATCGTTTCAGAGAAAGGCTAAACATTTTTTCATGTGATTCATGAATGGCCTTGTAAGATTTGAGGTCGGCTATTTAACGAAGTAATCTTAGTGCAATAATCGCGCCCATTTTTAATTGAAACATTCACAAAATGGTCGACAAACATATGAGATTCGTGCATACTGCACATTTCATGTATACATACGAGCATGGATTTTCTTTGCTCAACTTATCTTTAATTGAAATCGAGTGGCCATTGATTTGGTTTGACATGCAAATGCGATGGTTTTATGAGGAATGAATTGAAAATGTATCAATTTTCTTTTTTTCATTTGTTGTAGTCATTGATTGTACACGTGCCAAACACGCCAAATCCAGTTCATCATAAATTCCTGACATATGCGACGAAAATGTGATACGTTTCGAAGTTACACCATACCAGCACAGTATACTCACACGGTTGTGAGACATCCCGCTGAATTTCATGATTTGAATCGCATGCATATGTAGTGTGTATAATAAGTTGTCTGTTAGCATATGAAAATCTGTTATAAATTATGTATTCACGTGATTTACTGGCGAACAGTGAATGATTTAGTAAACAGAAAAAAGGAAATTACGAAAGAAATCCTTCTTCAAGCAATTGACGGCCCTTGAGCAACACAAAATGAGTTCATGTGTTTTTTTTTTGTTTTTTTTTTTCGAAACGAATTAAATGGGAAAAAATGCCACTACACATCATCACATCATTTCGATCGATATTTCAAATTTATCATAAATACAATTGTTTGAATTTGAGAGGTGCACGCATTTTGTCAATAAATTATAAATGGAACCATTCTTAAACTGTCGAGATATATATGACATTTCAATTTATGTACTTGAGTGGGTTTGTATAGGTGTTTGTTCCGTGTCTCGATCTGTATGTATTTTTTTAGATTGATATTATTCGGAATGATTGAGTACGTTATATTCCTCTTCTTATCGCACGCTTTGTTATTCAAGATGATGGTGAATGCGCGCGCCGCGCGTGCTGTCTCTGAAAAGTCAGTCAATGCCAACACTTTAATCATAACGAGTTATTGTGTTTATGTTTCTTGCTCACTTAATTCAATTCGCTTTAAGTCATTTTCGTCATTAATATTTAAGCACTTTGTTAAGAGCCATCAGAGAATTGCATTTAAATATAATACGCTCTCTGATTTTCTCTTTTTCATCGCATCATTGACCGAAAATGAATTTATTCATCTACTTTTTATCTATATTACAATGTTCGGTGTGTAGTTATCATATATTCTAAGCAAATCGGTTTGGCGGTTTCATTTCAAACCATTCCAAACGACTCATTTTCAATTCAACTGTGAAATAAGCAATTGGACGCGTAATCAAGTAACACAAAAAAATGGAATGGAATGTTTGTGTATTTGTGTGTATGAAACCGTCAGGGGCGTATCATGGGGGATGGTTTCAAAAAATTTGTAGTGATTTCAAGAGGTTGCTTTACAGTGTTGATGGCAACGGTTTCGTCGTTGACCGTATACGAATATAACATACGGGACATTCCAACTATTCTCGCTACAATGTGTGTGATATATATGCGGCACTCATATGAGTGTGCGTGGGCGGATCGCGCATCTCAAGTATAGAGAGTCGCTCCGTCTACACTATGTATTATCAAACAAGTCAGTTTACTGTCACGGGTGACAATCAAATTTTTGAAAACTACCATTAGTATTTTTTTTTTCCTGACAAAATTCATACAGGATATCCTATACCACACACTAGACGATACGCCTCTGTATACCGTGCGACACAGGGAGATAGATACTTGCATTGAATGAAGGATTTTCATTCAATTTAAGATTTTCTCGTTTTTTTTTTTTAACCAGCAATCAATGGTTTTTTCATTGAACAACTTTTTCGAAGCGTGCTTAAACACAAATATACACACGTACGACTGTCGTTCAACTACATGACCATACTCCAAATTGATGTTTGCATTGCTTCAGCGGTATGCCTTCATGAGAATAAACTTTTTTTATTACATTTTCGCAATTTTTGAATCTTTTGTGTATGTTTGTTCAAACATCGATTGAACGTTTAAAATAGAATAATAACAATTCCGAATTATTGTTGAGAAATTGAATGTTCCTGTGTATCTTCTCCGATAAACATGTGATATCCTTTAAACATGTGATATCATGGTATCCCCCATTATAGTGGTGACAAATCCGAGGAGAAAAAAAGAGATGATATGTACTAGTAAAGCGAAGAACAAGAACTATAACATTGACCACATCTGGCTAGAAGCTCAATCCAATGTTAAAACATTTAATAAGGCACATTGTTGAAATGCTATCGTTTTACTATTCGTTGAGCGGTTGTATATGATGTGTTTGTTGACTGAAGAAAACAGAGAGAGATAATGAGAAAATGTATATATATTGCATAACAATGGAAATGAAAATAGGAACAATTTCGTTATTACTGCACAAAGTTATCTAACATGTTGGAATTCTTGTTTCGACTATATGAACCACATCAAAAATGCATACATTTTTAAATTGACGGAAAATTGTGGAAAGAGATCATATTAATATGTGTATGTTTGTGATGCGTGTACTGGATTTAGCAGAAGGATTGTATGTGATTTGAACGACATTAGTGAATGAGAGATGGAGAAAACTAGATTGTGTGCTGTGAACATGGTATGTTAGTCAACAGCAATTAGTTTAATGCAAGACATCGTAGCTGTGCTATGGCATGACACATGTTTTTCAACGCATACACACAAATAAAACAATTGTAATTGACTGTAAAAGAAAAAAATCGAAGAAAGCATGAAAATGAGTGTTCAAAGAGGCGTTTTATCGTTGTTCCACTAGAGGTCTAGTGTGTGTATATGTATAGGGAAAATATTTGGTGGATCGAGATTGAATGTCATCAAAAGCAAGCATTCTGGCTTGCATGTCACTCGCACACGGTGCTAAACTATATAAGCTCGGCAGCAGGTATTTTCTATTTAACACCTTGCACACACCAGCATCGCATGAGAAAGTCATTTCGCTGACGACGTGCATATACGTTCTCTTCATTGTTTCCTTCTTTCTCTCTCTCTCTCTTTATATTATACATAAAACATTTTCATTTTGATTTGACACAATTTAATATTCAGAGTTGTTATGTTAGATATCTATATATTGTGATTGTACAAATGTACATGTTGGATTATAAAATGTTTCATTTGAAATGTTCAAAGGGGTATCAACGCACTTATTTCAAGCTTTACTACTTTCTCTCTTCTTGTTTTCCATTCGTTTCGTCGTTTTGCAATGGAACGAAAATTGTTTTTATCACTTCGGAATGCGAGCGGATTGACGCATTCTTGGCATATTTCGCATAGTTGATAATACCTTGGATTGCACACATTGGAATAATAACGTTTGTGTTAAGTATATCTACGAGTCAAGATAAATGTTTTTTTTTTTATGTGGGTATGACGGGCTTTGAGGTGAACCATCCGTCTTTGCTTATAATTTCGAAAAGTCAATCCCTTTCCATCATCTTCTTCTGAACCCCATTTATCGTCTACAGTTGCCTTTTCCTTTTTACATCGTTTTTAATTTTTTTCTCTTCTCTTCTCTTTGCTTCCTTTCCTTATTTTGTACTTAATAAAGGAAATACGACGAGGATTATTGAAAGCGGCAAAAACAACGGGCGCATGGGTGTTTACAGGTGGCACAAACACAGGTAATTTGTTTGCTAATTCAACATTTCTCCCAAAAGAATCTACTATAATTGAATCCATAAAGAGCCGAAATTAGTCGTAAATTTTTTGCATTTGCCCTGTTGTCGCATGGGCCCGGTTTTATTTCTCTCGTTCTTTTTTTAGGGCAGTGATTTTATTAAATTAGTAAAACAGATCATAAAAATCCGAAACACATACACACTGGGAGACAAGCAAACGGCAGGAGTGACAGTGTACGATTGAAACAAAGAGAGGCGTAAATTTCCTTTTCACTTAGACATTTTCGATGCTACACATATTCAATTAGTGAGTCGAAACACGGTAGAGTTGAAATTACCGGATTATTCAAAATTGCTGGAAACATTTGAGTTAAAGGTTTTCAGGATGTGAATAATTCACGCATATCTTATTTTTTTTATCAAAAGATATAAACGTTTCACATCAATTTTCCTCTCTTGCTCTATTTTTTCGCTCTGTCTATGTCTCTCACCCTCAATCTGTCTCAGTTTTATTCGCATTTTTCGTTCCATTCCGTTCTGTATTGTGTATCATATTTGAATTTGGAACAACATGAAATGTCAGACAAATGTTAAGTTGACATTAAAATGGCATTTCGACTCAATTCAAACTCTTGTGTACAAAACAACAGAGAAACAAAAATCTCAAGAAGAATAATTGCTGTCAAACTAAAACGTAGCATCAGTAGGGTGCAGCGTTTTCTTAAATTATAAAAAGGTGGGAGGACCCCAGGAGAACACCCGTAATGTTTTTTTCTCAAAAAAATGCATGTAGAAATCGCGCATCCGACCCATCGCTATTCTTTCGGCCCTCTTGGACGCCTTTTTTTTCAAATGATGTGAAAATTTGTATTGGGGAAGTTTTTGGGTATGCGAAAAACGAATCTGACATTTATTTTGCGATACAAAAATAGCAAAAATGATCACAAATGGCCAAAAACATGAAAAAACATTACAGGTGTTCTCCTGGGAGGGTGTACATTAGGGTGTTTCCACATGAAAATTATTAAAAAGTGGCTATTATCATTTTGAAGAGCGTTAAATTCTGTATAAGATGATTTGATTTTTGATACTGATTGGTTGCCGATGTCACTTCCTGGACTAAAAACACATTTGTAGATTGATTTCATGTCGCATTCACGCCAAAATCTATAATTGATGAAAATATAAGATTGAACAAAATTAAAAACATGAAAAATAATTTTAATATAAAAATAATTTCCTAAATATTAATAAAAGTAACACAAAAACTCACAATTTCACTACAATAAACCAAAACAATGCAAATTCGCCAATTCATTTGACAGAATGACATTTGAAGCGTGATTCGCTCACGCATGACAAATGACAGGTTATGTGTCAAATGAATTGGCAATTTTGCATTGTTTTGGTTTATTGTGGTAAAATTGTTAGTTTTTGTGTTACTTTTTAAATATTTAAGCAATAATATTGATATTAAAATTATTTTTCATGTTTTTAATTTTGTTCAATCTTAAAATTTCATTAATTACAGATTCTGGCGTGAATGCGACATGAAATCAATTCACAAATGTGTTTTTAGTCCAGGAAGTGACATCGGCGACCAATCAGCATCGAAAATCAAATGATCTTATACAGAATTTTACGCTCTTCAAAATGATGCTAGCCACTTTTTGATATTTTCCATGTGGAAACACCCTAGTGTACATAATAATTTTTAAAAAACGAGGCACCCTAAGCATCAGTACACAATAAACTGATAACGATTAAACTTTGTTTGATTTCTGAAAAAAAAAAAAATGTTTGGAAAAATAAACAGAGAAAAATTGAATTGAATTGATGGCATTGTTAACAATGGCAAAACAAAATATAATCAGAACACAAAAGAGAAAGAGAAGAAAAATTCTGGTCGCGACTATGTACTCGCTTGATTTTATGTATGTGTTGTTATTTTGTAAATTCAATTTTGCAGGCGTAACAAAACAAGTTGGTGATGCACTGTTATTAGAAGGACAACAACGAACTGGTCGAGTCGTATCGATCGGTATAGCACCATGGGGAATTGTTGAACGAAATCACGAACTGTTAGGTCATAATCGAGATGTCCCATGCCATAGCATAAGCTCACCAAGGTAAATACACTTGTTATCATCGCACAAATATATATATGTGTTTTTTTTTGTCAAATTGGCCAGTTTTCGAAAATTGCTTGTGCAGCACACACAAACACGCACTCTCACAATTTTATCTGTTAATTTGTGTGTTGACAAGCACTCTTGAAACCTAGCTACAGTGAATATTTTTTATTTATGTTTTCAGGCGTATTATTTTTGACTAGAATATTCATTTTTGACCTTATTTCCCTCGATTTTTTTATCTCAATTTCGTCTCATTTCCATTCGATTACACTCTAAATGTTAACGTTTGCTTTTAACCTCGCCTAATTGCTTTGCTTCTCTTCATCTTGTCAACAGATCAAAATTGGCTGTATTGAACAATCGGCACGCATATTTTTTACTCGTGGATAATGGAACGCAGGGAAAATATGGTGCAGAACTTATTTTACGAAGAAAATTAGAGAAATTCATATCAGGCTTAAAATTGCATCCATGTGAGTATTAAGTATTATTATGTAATCACGTTTGTACTTTATATAGCATGAGCGCGCGCGCTTTAATGGAAAAAAATTTCACAATTTAATTCCACTCAAATTTATCATAATTCGCTACGGAATATGATGAGTCAACTTTTCAATGTATTCAACGGAGTTTTAATAGCTCAATTGTTGGGTCACTTGTTGGAAACTTACATAAAAGTTTTCGACCACTGTAATCAAAAGTTTGTTTAACTTCATTTGTCTGTATTCGCTCTTCCTCCTTTTTGCTTTTCCGTTTTTTTCACTCTCTTTCTCACTCTCTTTCTACAATTTTTTCTCATTCTCCAATTTTTGGTTTCATTTGATTTTTAAACTTTCATTTAGTTACACACTCGAGTACGCCGGTGGTGTGTTTAGTCATCGAAGGTGGCACGAATACAATTAGAGCGGTTTTGGAATATGTCACCGATACACCACCTGTACCAGTGGTTGTATGTGATGGTTCCGGACGTGCTGCTGATCTCATTGCGTTTGTTCACAAGTAAGTTATTGTTGTCATTTTCAAAATCGAACCATTGTATCTGCTTTCAAATCAATACCATAAACCGAACAACAACATTCTCTCCCTCTTCCCCATCCCTCGCTCTCGTGATGTATTTTGCAAACTCATTTAACAAATTTTTACGATGATGAGGTCACATGAAACAAATATGAAGTGTGTGTGTGTGTGCGCGAGTGTGTTTGTGTGTATTTATCTAATATTCTCAATATTTCAGATATGCATCAGATGGTGAAGAACAAACGGTGCTCGAATCGATGCGAGACTATCTGCTGAGTACCATTCAGAAAACGTTTGAAGTTGGCATTGACCAAGCTGAATGCTTATATCAAGAGTTACTTCAATGCACGCGCAACAAAAACTTGGTAATTTAACCGTCCGTCATTTGCTAGAGCACTGCACATCAAATATTCCACCTCAAAAACAAACAATCAAGTGGTCAATCTACACTTTTGAATATTTAATAATACCACATGTATACATGGCAATGCCAGTCAAATTTCTATACTAAACATTCTATGAATACATATTTTTTTTCCGGGTCATATGGATTGTGCAGTGCCTTTTTGATGTTGGCATTTTATTTGTAATGCATCCATTGATGCACTCTATCTCTGAATGGCATTCAATGGTACATTGGAAGAAGTTAATTATTAATATCTTAATCAAATAGATCACTGTGTACCGAATCCAAGAGAAACCCGAAGGTGAATCACAAGAACTTGACCAAACTATCCTGACGGCACTGTTCAAATCACAACATCTTTCGCCGCCAGAGCAATTGAGTTTGGCATTGACATGGAATCGTGTCGATATCGCACAAAGCGAAATATTTGTGTACGGTCAGGAATGGCCACACGGTGCACTTGATGACGCAATGATGCAAGCACTTGAACATGATCGCATTGATTTTGTGAAATTACTACTGGAGAACGGAGTATCGATGAAAAAATTCTTAACCATACCGCGACTGGAAGAGCTCTACAACACAAAACATGGACCAGCAAACACATTAGGGTAAATTATATTTTTGCTTCATTCAATTCTTATCGTTTGTGGTAACATTTTTTGTTTGCCGTAAGAAATTCATTTGAAAATTAAAATCAATTTAAGTGGTGAGAAAAAAACTGACTGCTTTCGGCATAAGGTTTTGAAAATCATACTTTCTTAATCGACTTTCGTTTTTATTTTTATTTCTCCATTCGCTTGTTTCATTTTCATAGATACATTTTGAGAGACGTTCGACCGCACATACCCAAAGGTAAATAATAGATAAAGGTTCATTAATTATATGATAATTGTTTTAATATTGCAATACAGGATATGTTTACACATTACACGATATCGGTTTAGTCATTAATAAATTAATGGGCGGAGCATATCGGTAAGTCATACATTGAATTTTAATTTTCACAGTTGTTCCAAATGTTCACAGTTTTAAAACTCTTTGTGAGATTGAAAAACGTAATGGCAACGAAGAAGACGTACAATGAAACTTTTTACTTTTGAATTTTAATCGATGGTTTTTGTTTTTTTCTTTTATTCTCTCAATACACTTCATCCATCTGGTTTTAGATCGTACTATACACGACGAAAATTTCGTCCGATTTATGCCAAAGTCATGAACAGCTATGTAAACACGCATCGAAAGTCTTCAACATTTCAACGTCATCCGGGTGCTAATTCAATGAGCCTTGTTACCGGCCTACTTCCATTTACTTCCGAAATGGCACTTTTTGAGTTTCCATTTAATGAATTGCTTGTAAGTATAGATAACCAAAAAGAATATCACAAAAACTTTTCAATACATATTGGTGAATGACGAAACAATTCATTCCATACAAAATGGAAAATAAGAATCGCTTTTCTTTGTGTTCAGTGTTCTGTATATTTTTCTTCTTTCTCTTGAATTGCTACTGAAGCGGCCATGTATTCTTCTCGATTTTTTTAACGAACTCGAATACATTCCAAGTTTTTAATGGAATGTAACTTTTATACATTGTGCACACTTTTTTTATGTTATTTTTTTTTTTCAACCAAACAAGAAAAGAATAGAAAAATCGGGTATTTTTTGCCCCTTTCAATTAAACAATTTTTATTTTCTCATTCTTTTCAAACAAACTTCAAAGTTTGCATAAAATCCAATGAAATGGTTGTGTGAAAATCATTTGAGGGTTTATTCGCTTTACTGCAATCAGTGTGGTGTAGGACAGAGAAAAAAAAGAAATGTTTTGCGGTTTGAAAAATATACGGAAAAAGAACCATCAATCACTCTTGTTAAATTTTGGGTGTTTGTAGAATGTAGAAGTTTTGTAAAATTCATTGCGCATCAATCAATATCCAGATTTTAGATAATTTCCGGTAAAGAATGATAAATATTGATTTTGTACAATAAAAAGGAGACGAAGAAGAAGAGAACCAAAATTTAATTAAAACTAAAAAAACCGTACAAATAATAGTGATTATAATCAAAATATTGTTAAAATGGAATTTTTTTATAGATTTGGGCTGTGTTAACGAAGCGTCAAGAAATGTCGGTGTTAATGTGGGCACATGGTGAAGAATCGCTGGCCAAATCATTGGTTGCATGTAAATTGTATAAAGCGATGGCACACGAAGCGGCCGAAGATGATTTGGACACCGAAATTTATGATGAGCTTAAAAGCTATGCAAAAGATTTCGAAGTTCGAGGCGTCAAATTGTTAGACTATTGCTATCGTTGTGATGCGGAACGAGCTCAACGTTTGCTCACCTGCGAATTACACTCATGGTCAAATCAAAGTTGTTTATCATTGGCAGTAACAGCAAACCATCGTGCACTACTCGCACATCCGTGCAGTCAAGTGATATTGGCAGACTTGTGGATGGGTGGCTTGCGAACACGAAAGAATACAAATCTCAAGGTAAAAATCCATTGTTTATTTATATACGTTTTTTCCTTTCCGTTTCTCAAAATTTTCTCGGATGGCATGTCTTTGTTGGCAGTGATGGAATGCTGCGTGCGATTAAATTTTTCCCATTTCAATGTTCACCATCCAATGAAGTACTTACTAGTTTTTTTTCTTGACTCGTTCATGCTTCTTAGTCCCTTCATCCGTTTTTTTAGCATTATGTCATTTCGTATTAATGGTAAAAATTACATTTCATTTCCAGGTGATTTTGGGTTTACTTTGTCCACCGTTTATAAAGCGACTAGACTTTAAGTCAAAAGAAGAGCTTCAACAAATGCCACAAACCGAAGAAGAACATTTAGAAAACCAGAATCTAGATTACGAAGATCAGGAAAAACAACATCCGGATGCTGAGGTACGTCGTTTCCTTTTTTATTTATAGTAACACCACCATACTATGCGAACGCTTTGCTATTGAATATTGCAAATATAATCTGGCAAAAAGTTATGAATATACAGAAGCCGAACCAAATAGAATAGGGCTGGCGAAAATCGACCGAGGCGAAAATGGTCCGATGATATTATTTGCACACGTTGAAACAAGAACCGGTTATGTATGCATGTTCTGTGGGGAGATTAGAGTATTCCGGACACAACATAGTTTGAGTCTCAGCGGAATAATTTGACATATGTAATATAGCATATTTAAAAATTTCAAGCAATGTGGCTCTACTAAACGTGATTTGTTGAGTTTTATACTCCCCAAAAATGTGAATACAGCTACAGTGCCATAATTTGAAATATTTTGAATTTAGATTCCGACAATTTTTGACTCGCTCGAGTGCATTTTCGCCAGCCCTAGAACAGAATATAACATAACAGAGAAACGATGATGATGATGATGATGATGTTAATAGTGAAGAACATGAAGTATACGTACTCGTAAATATTCCATACAAAAAAATGCTCCTTGTATCTCAATGTTTCCCGCAGTAAACTAACTTAAAGCAGCTATATTTAAATGGATTTTTAGTGTTTTATATATATATATTATTATTGTGTGTGTTCGTGCTTATACAAAGGTTCAAATGTATGTGTATTTAAATAAACAAATGGAATTTTCGTGTGCTACCCTAAACAGACACACACAGGGTTCGGTTTTTTATGGAAATCCTTTTTACAAAATAGCCAAAACACACGCTGACTGACTCACCAGTGTTACAATGACATTTTTTGCCGTACATTTTTTTTCTCATAAGAAAACCGGGCACTCTTTTTTTGATTTTATTATCACTTTTGTTTTTCTTTTTTTTTTCGAATATTTTTTAGGCTCTTTTGGCTGATACGTACGCGATGAAAGCCACCAAAGTTCAAGAAAATGGAAAAGTATGTTGACAAAATTAATTACATGACCGACTACACAATTCGAGAAATATGTATTTGATCTAAATATAAACGGGAGAAACCAAACAAGCATCTGTGTTCATCGAAGTTTCTCTCAACTAAATAGTTTTCGTTCTTTCGTTCAAATCTTTTTCAATTAGTTACACTCTTTGGTTTATTTTTACTCTTTCTATCTCTGTCTCTAACTCTCTAACACACATTCTCTTCTCTTGATCAACACAAGAATCATCTGATGAAAAATTCAACGAAAAACGTACGGAATTTGATGGATTTACAATGTAGATGCAATTTTTAGCGCACATTTTGCGAACATCATATGTTCATGTTCATTTCATCTTTTCATTTCGTTTCGTTGTCATTTTTGTGTGCATTTTTTTCTACATTCTATCTATCTTCTTCTAATGAGTTAAAAAAAAAATATGGTTGTTCAATAATTCAGCCGATCTGTGACCTTTGTGTGAACCGACAACTTTCAAAATAAATTCTTTCATCCTGCCTTTTCTTGAATGTTTCCTGAATATTGTACGGGGGCTGGAAATGAATAGCTTCACCAAAATACACACACATACACACAAATATACACACAACAACAACTACAACAGCATACACACACATATACATAAAAAACAACACTTTAACACATTCGTTTGATAGGAGCAAATGTGACACTAGTGTGCACTATACCCATAATATTAGCCTATAAAAAAACAAACAAACAAACAAAAACTCCCAAAACGCCAAGTATGCATTATTTCCACCATGAAAGCAGATCGATCACACACGCACGTTCGACATCATCTAATATAAAAGCTTGAGTATAGACTCTTTTTTTGCTTCATGTATGAAACGGACCCTCTGTATCTTTAACACTCAAACGCATGCCATTCATTTTATTTCATTACAAAATTTGTTCATGACATTTTGAGTTGATGCCTTTTCGTTTCTATTACTGATCTGTATTTTTTTTTCTTGTTCATTGGCTATCCCATATGCAATTGGTAAAAAAAAGCTTCTCATCAGTATATTTTTATTGCAATATGATTGGCTTTCACATATTTTTTTTTCTCTTCTCTTTTCTCGTGCGATAATTTTCAATATGTTCTTTTTTGGGAATAACTTTTTGAAAATCACTTTTTACTATTTTCGATTGAAAAAAATCCACGCTTTTTTTTATTGTATAACATAATCGATTTTTATCAAATTTGTTCTTACATCTGTTTTTTTTTTTTTGGTAATTGTTTTTCCATCGATCAAAGCAGTTAATATTCTTTTGAATTCGAATGAATTATTTTCAATCGGTTTTGTTTGCCTTTCTCGGGATTTAAATAATTTTTGCGCCAATATCGCATAGCCACCAAATTATTTAGACAATTCGGTCTATCTTTCTTCTTTTTTCTTAAATGGGAATAAATCGATCGAAATTGATGGCTTCTCATTGGCATATACCCCAACATTCATAAACAAAAATATTTGAAATCTATCATACGAAGCATCAAGTGTATCAATGATTAAATGTTGACGCTTCACATATCAAAAAATAAAATTTATGGTTCTACCACAATCAATATGGACGGCGAATGTTTCGAATGCAAAAAAAAAAAAAACATTTTTGGTAAACATGAATAACAAAAAAGGTATGAAATTTCCATCGAAAAAAAAGTTGGAAAAACTCAGCATGTGGTCAGGTGATAATGATTGGCACTCGGTTCTATCCGTTTCCTGCTATGAAAAACAAAATAAAATAAAACCTGGGGTTAGTTTCAATTTTTTCAATACACAAAAGAGTGTAAATTATGAACGTGTACGATGTAAAACATGAATCGTGAAGAAAAAAAATCACACGGTGAAATGGTAACGCGAACATGAGAAATGCTGAACTTTTTATGCCAATCTATAAATTTTATCTTTTCATGATTTTTTAACTGAATTATATAATATATTAACTGAAAGATAGAAAAAAAAGTAAATAATTCCATCTCTCGTTAAAAATAGGGATATTTTGGGTCGAAGGTACAGGCATCCACCGTTGTATATGAATTTACACCACTCTATTGAATGTTCATGTTCGTTGAGAGCACGTTGATTACAACTAACCACGTCTTCTGGTGCGCATCGCATCTTCCTAACATTCTTGCATTATATCACATTTAGTTATGGCTATTGCTGTTGCACACCGTTAGTTCCGACGTGTGCACCGTACACTTTTTTTATATTAAAATGCCATCACATAAACCTGAAACGCGGAGCGCGCAGTTAGTAGTTGCAAAAGCTTTGGTTGCTTATGGTCAATTATATTGTTGTTGTTGTTGAAAAACGAACGAGTAAAATCGTCATCAATTATAAATTTTGCCTACCTCGATACACAACGACAAACAATATAAGCGGCACGGCACGGAATACATTATCCGTGCCCTGCAAATGAACAACAGATTCAAATAAAACTAGAGAAAGAGAGAAAGAAAAATGTTGACTCGTCGATTTATATATCATCAAAATTCATTAGTTCATATTTGAAATTCATTTGTCCGTAATAATTTTAATGAAGTAACCTCGTTCAATCGTACCTATGCTACCGTAAAAGCCGATTAATATTATTGTATAGATATTTGTGAGCTTAGCCGTGTGTGTATCATTATTTATTTTCCACATGATCCATTCCATAATATCAATTGACCATTGTTACAGTCCTTTCTTTTTGTCATTTCGTCTCTATTGCACATCTATGCTACTAGACGGTAGTCATCTTTTATTCTTAAAAATTCTCACAATTCTTTTTTAAACAACAATTACAACCATTTACTTATTTACGCTTGTCGTTTGTTCGGCATTCTCTTTACATTTTTTGATCTCTTCCTTTCGTTTTTTTCCCCCTTTTTCATTTCAATTTTTGCGAAAATCGTTTCTCAGGTGTCACTGACTGATGCAGACACGTGTCAAAAAGAGTTTACACAACTATCACATGACTTTGAAATTCGACATCATCAACCATTACGACTTAAGAAGAAAATTTATGAGTTTTATACTGCACCCATAACTAAGTTTTGGGCTGATTCGGTAAGTAAATATTATTATTATTGTTTTTAGATAAATACGAACCAACAAACGGAAATACAATTCGAATTGGAAAATTAACGACGAAAATTTATACGTGATCTTCTGGGTATGTTTTTTTCTTTCTTTTGAAATAGATTGCCTACATGATGTTTTTAATGTTATTTTCGTACACGGTACTGGTACGAATGGGACCGAAACCGACATGGCAAGAAGCCTATTCAATAGCATATATCACCACGCTTGGCTGTGAAAAAGTTCGTGAGGTCATCTCATCAGAACCAGTGGCAATAACGTAAGTGGCACACAAACAAAACAATAGCACATTTTCACGGTGCGATAAATGATTCAATCAATTATTCTAATCAAAATCAACTGATGACATTTATCGAATTATAACCGATGCGATTTATTGTTAACACCACTCTCTCTCTCTCACACGCTCATTCTGTCATCTCTCGAATTAACTGTCAACACATACATCGTATAATATCCATTCAAATTGGCACGATTATAAAAATCAGAGCATATCGTCAGTTAGCATCATCAGTGCTGATGGATCCAGTTGCATATTTTAGCAGCTGTGACAGAAGTCACAAATTCGAAATAAATGTGTCGTTTCATTTTCAAAAACAGACATAAAGTATACCAAAATAGCCGGCTGAATCCATCAGCGTTGATTACGTTGATCTGACAGTATTCTGTGATAAAAACATCCAATTTATGTGTCTGAAAAAAAAATGTAAAGACTGCTGCGTTTTTGGAAATAATTTTATTGTTCAGTTATCTCTATTAAATATTTTTGTCGATTTATTTCGACGTTTTTATAATCACTAATAAAGTAAGTGTCTATAGATTTGTCGAAGCAAAATCCCTCAAACATAAAGAGAAACAAAGAGAAAAAAAACGACTATAACGTAACGACAGAGAAAATAATAAGATATTATGGGTTATTTATCTGTTAACGTTAATGTGTGGTCTATTTATGCGACATAATTCGTGTACACACTTTGAACACAACCGTTTAGTCGTACATCCATCGAATGAATATCTTAACAGCGCGAGAGCATTGCACCCATTACACTTTATGATGTGTGTGCACGTTTTTTATCAGAGTATTGCTCAGCGCTGCTGTCATCCACAGCATATTTAAATATCTTGCTGAGAATGCGTCGTCCGTCGCATGCGAAGGTACGTAGCAGTTTTTACATCACAGTGAACAAGAATGTATGCATTGTTCTCTTCACGATTATGTGACTCAAAACATTCAAACGATTGATTAGAGAACAATGCATGTATTGTGTTCGCTGTGATATAAAACTGCTACCTACCTTCGCATGCGACAGACGACGCATTCTCAGCAAGATATTTTAATATGCTGTGGATGGCAGCAGCGCTGAGCAAAACTCTGTTTTTTATTGACTAAACTTGCTACTTTCGAATGTAGATGTACATCAGAGCCACTCTCTTAACTGTTGCAATCGCTGTGCGCTCAAACTTTTAACACTTTGAAAGTAAATACCAAATATTTACTGCGAATTATTTAAATAATTATTTATTTGAAGCAAATACGTGGCAAAAGTACTGAATTTTGTTGTAAAAGGGATGACCGAGAGAAAGAGAGAGAGAGAGAGAGAGAGAGAGAGAGAGAGTGAGGCATTTTATCATCTTTCACATGTACATCATAATAAATATTAAGTGTTCATTTAATAAATGATTTTTAATTAAAACACATCGTCTCTGACACTTGCACTCTCTCGATTATCTGATTATGATGATGATGACGATGATGAAGAGACAGTGTGAGGGCAAGAATGAAACTTAATTAATGAAATAACTCGAAAAATAAAATAAAATAAAAATATATATAAAAAACAATGTTAAATGCTATTTTCAGGCAAAAGTTTCAAGTATGGGCATGGAATATGTGGAATCCCTGTGATGCATTGGCAATAATATTCTTTTTAATTGGTTTAACGTTACGTTTTCAACCCGCATACATGGATGTGGGGCGTGTTATTTATTGTGTTGATAGCATATATTGGTACTTACGCATATTGAACATATTAGGCGTTAATAAATACTTAGGTATGGATAAAAATTGAAAATCCTTCTTTGAAACATACACACACACAGAGAGACACACATACACAGACAAATGGAATGAATATATAGACCACTCTCTATATACACTCACATACACTGTGCACACATTAGAATTAAATATGAATAATTATTTGCAATATAATACATGTACCGGAAGCCACACGTGCACATCTTGTGTGGCCATTGTAGTATTAGTGATGGTTGTATGGTGATCTCTGCACTTTGCTATTGCAATAATTATTACATGCGACATTGTGTACACATTGACAATTTAAAATTCAAATCGATTCGATTAAATTGAATGTATGCTCATAATTCTTTGTCTTCTTTGGTCCGGATATTTTGTGTGTTGAATAGGTCCGCTAGTCACGATGATGGGAAAAATGGTGAAAAATATGATATACTTTGTGGTACTTTTGCTTGTGGTATTGCTGAGTTTTGGCGTTAGCAGACAATCGATCTTATTTCCAAACGAAGAAGCCAGCTGGCGACTCATTCGTGATGTAAGTATGACGAAATACATTTCAATTTATCATAGCGAAGACAGAAACGATGATCGAAACGATTTCTTGATCCCATTTAATGTTGATTTCATTTACTCTTCTTCAACCCGCCCGCTCACGCAACGCATCAACGCATTCGAATCTATTCAGGTATATTTTCAACCATATTTTATGTTATACGGTGAAGTATTTGCGGGCGAAATTGATCCACCATGTGGCATTGAAGGCCATCCACCTTGTATCACAGGTACATATAATCATCATTATTTAATATTACCTCTCGTCATTTGTCATTTGACATTTGGACACCGCGATTAATTAACCCTTTTTTGCGCAAACACCAACTACTTCAAAATGATTTCCATTTTTTTTCGACTCAGTATTTATTTTGATTTCAGTTGTTTTCTCTTTTCAACCAATCACATTCACCCTTTGCGAATGAATTAATTTAACCATTTTATTTCTTATTTATTCAGGTCACTGGGTAACGCCAATCACAATGTCCATGTATTTATTGATTGCAAATATTTTGCTGATAAATTTACTAATTGCGGTATTCAACAACATATTTATCGAAGTTAATGCCGTTTCACACCAGGTAAATATGTGCGCTCACTCAACATATATGCAACGAATTTTCATATTATTGTGTTATATTTTCAATATCGAAACATTTTCATTGCAAAACGTTGTGCATCCATTTGTTGTGCAACATTTTCATTAAACTTTTTTTTTGGAGTGTTTAAATTTTTACAGTTAGGTACATAGAGGTTATCGTTTATCGGCCGCTTGTTGAATTGAACATCGAATTTGGAATACGATACTTTTTCTTTGAACCATTCATGTGTTTTTATGCCAATTTTTTTGTTAATTCTCCAATCCTTTTTTCCACCCTTGGCTTATTGGTTCAAATGTTATTTTTATCGGAGGATGTTTTTGTTCTCTTTAAGAACATTTAGTTTAATCCATAACTTTTGTTTTGTAATGGATTAGCCTGCTTGCGGTGTTTTTCTTGATTTCCAATTCAGTTATGTGTATTTCCTATGATTTCGCAATTTGTTACATTCGCATGGTTTAGTTGACACCCAATTGGATAGCATCGCCGATTTTGGTTTTTCCAACTCAACTTTTGAATGCAGTTGGTGGAATTGTTTTTTGTTAATAGCATTAGCGTAGAGATGAAGCAAACAAACATACAAATATACAAACAAAAAAATAAGATTTATTATCATGATGATGGATGAGCAGATTTCAACCAAAGGCAATTTTGTTCGATTATGATTTTTTACATGCAGGTTTGGATGTTCCAACGATTCACAGTCGTTATGGAATATCAACAAAAACCCGTCTTGCCACCACCGTTCATTGCCTTTTCCCATTTTTACTCGTTGATGCGGTATTTGATACGGAAAGCAAGAGGTAGAGAATGTCTGTAAAGTACATCTTACATTTGACAGTTTTATTTTACACGCGATTTTTGTTCTCTTTTTCCCCCAATTCTCTTCTACACACAAAAAAAACATCAACACAACACCACCAACACCACCAATCACATACACACATCACACAACAATTGCGAAAACATTTTGTTGATAATGCCTGATGTGCCCGCAAACGACCACACAAAAAAATACCTCAATTGTATGTGATATGATGGTATCCGGACGATATGCTGAAAAAATATACCAACGAAATCATAAAAAAACTGCTACGCCGTCCATTTGACCGTGGGCCGATTTAAATATGCAAATATCAGGGTTGGATATTCCACGTGATAATGGCCTCAAGCTGTTTTTGGAGAAAGAGGACATGGAACGACTGTACGACTTCGAGGAAGAATGTGTCGAAGGTTATTTTCGTGAAACCGACATTGCAATGCAACAATCCACCGATGAACGTATCAAATCGACCAACGAGCGCGTTGAAAATATGTCACAAAAAGTTGAAGATATTAACCAAAAAGAAAACCTTCAATCGGCCACAGTTCAAGTAAATACACAAGTTTTTCATTTCATTTGTTTGAATATCTCAAACTTACATTTCACAAATATCTATCCACTTATATTACATTCTCTATTTCTGATGCAACTTGATATTTCATAATGTTTTCTTTTTATGTTGTTGTTTTTTGTCCATAGAATATGGATTTTCGCTTGAGGAAAATGGAAGAATCCACCGACCAGATTTTATCGACACTGGCTGTTATTCATCGCTTTATGTCGGCGCACACAACATTGCAGGATAGTATGCAAGGATCGGCTGTTAATGTTCACGACAACATTCCAATGCGATTGAGAACGGTGTCGGAAACGGAAAACCCAACTCACTTGACTATTGTAAGTAGGGCAAGAATTTGGAAAAACAATAGGTGAAACTCAAAAGAAATAGCAAGTGACAGAGACCTTAGTTTTTCGTTTCATTTTGCTTAATTAAATTTGTCAATATATTTTTCCCACAGGCCAATCAAAATAGGAAACGCTTCAATCGGTCACTGACGGAAGTAAGACCGGATGCATATATTTTTGATGATGGCCTACATTTTGAAGTGCGAACTGTTGAAGAGGAAGACGAAGTGGTCCAATCACATGAAACATTGAACGAACAACATCAACAAAAGCCACCTTCATTACGAAAAGCAAGCATTATATCAGAAGATTCGGATATTTTCAACGATAAAATATTCGGCACTGCGGGCAGTAGTGGTGGCGGTGGTGGTATTGTTGCTCCCAAAACAGTAATAGCTGCTGCAGCGGCGGCAGCGGCAGCAGCAGCAGCAGCGGCTGCAACGTCTGTTAATATCATTGAAACAAAACCACCGTATCTAAACATACAAACGCGACAAGAAACAACAAGCACCGAGAGTAAAGACACAATAACACCGATTGAGGGTGCCGAAGTGCCAGTCACTGGTGAAGATGAAGATGAAAATGCGTCCACCGAAAATATCATGGAATTGAATTTCGAAACCGCACGACAAAAGGCAATGCGAAGGCGATCAATGGGCATGGGACGACGGTTATCATCCGATTGTTGCTCAAATTACGATTTGAATCGCTCACAAAGCAGTTTAAACGCAACATTGGCAATGTCACGACGTCAACTCAGTCTTACGCAATCAGAACCAGACAGTGGAAATGAATTGACAGGTACAATTTCAACCTAACCAAATCAGTTTTATTTTGTTCTTTTGTATTTAAAAAGAAAATACCATTTGCATATTTATTACATTGGCCAAATCATAAGTTATTTTTTTTTTCTTTTTCGTTCATTAACCAAACATAATCTTTTCATTTGATCTAAATAAAAAAATATATATATATAAAAGGTGCTCCCGTCAAGTCAGCTGTCATACCAATTAAATCAAACCGCCAGTTGCTACTCCAGTTTCACTCAGAATACACATCCATCACTGATGAGCTTGAAAATGTGTGTCAAATGATCACGTCACCAACATTATCGCTAAATCGTGAAAATGAAAAATCATGTTCAAATGCCGAATTTGCCGCACTTTTGGAAAAAAAACATTTGCATGAATGCGAAGAAAGTGATTATCTCATGCTTTCAAAGCTGTTCCAAAATCGAGACTCAATTAACGATAGCGACGATGCTTTCGGAGATGTATGTCATATGTTTCTTTTCATTAATTGTTCTTTCTATTTAAATGTTTCTTTTGTTTGCTTTATATTAACAATCGCTTCGATTCAGAGAGAATTTTTTTTTAAAAGAAAATTTGAAATGTCGAATTAAAACTTCTAACGACTTTGCTCTTTTCTTTTTAAATTAATTTCCGGAGAAATTTGATTTTTCATGTTAATTTGTTTTTTTTTTTTATCGCAGTTCTTACGGACGATTTTAATCAATAAGCAATTTCAAGTTTTTAATGAAAAATCGAATGTTCCTCTATTTTGCTTTATTTTTGTCCTCATTTCTCAATCTTTTTTTTTCTCATCAAAATTTCCGGAAAAATATTTGAATTCCAACTTTTTGGCCACTAAAATGTTCTCTTCTTTTTTTTCTCTCGCCTTCAAAAGGATAATTCATCTGGTGATGTTCCTCAGCGTCGTATGTTGCGTCGCGAAACAGCTGTAGAACTACCAATAACACCATCAAAATCATTAAATGCGTCTGGAACGTCGGCTGAAGTAGATGGTAACGGAATTCGAAGTATAAATGAGCGACCCGATCGAGCATCACCAATTTTGAATCGTAATCTATCAGGCGATCGTAGCTATGGTCGAATGTCATCAACCGGTCAAACATACTTGATACCATCAACGTCGGATCCGAGTCAACCTCGTTTCCGAAAATCCATTGAAAGTTTACCAAAGAATTCAAGCAGCGATACCGAATACTCATTGCACCCGTATCGCGTGATAAAACAAAGTTCAAATGAAACAAATACATCGTTAACCGGTTCATTTAATATTGATCAATCGTTTGGTGGCCATGAATTATCACTTGATACAAACGAAACAAGTGCACATTATACAACGGTTATTGAGAATGTTGTTGATCATGGTTCCGGTTCGGATACAGCATCGTTAAATAAATCGTATAGTATGCCACCGATTGAACCATTATCATTGCAACAAACAACACCAAAAGTGTTGCGTCAACAAAGTGAAGGCGGCAGTGGACGTTCACTTCGTAAACAATTTAGCATTGATCATTCATTATCTACATCAAAATTGGATGGTCCAACACCATTGTCCACAACAAAAACCAATTTAAAACTTCCAACGATTAGTACAATACCAGCGACACCAACAAAAACACTGTCAACCGTTGTCAGCAATTCAACAAGCACTGATGAGTCAAAAGATGACCGAGACATTCCAACCATCAGTACAAATGTTGTTCAAGACGAAATCGCCAAATTATCATCAAACATTAATCGAAGCTCAGAAGATAATAGCACAGATCCACCACTAAATGAAACTATGTGCTGAAAATATTTTACCATAACATTCACAACAATGGAATTGAATACGTCACATACACACATTTGCTATTTCCATTATACACATGTATAAATATGTAATCAAATAGATTATGGACAAATCGATAAACATTTGAAATCAGAGGGAAGTTCAAAAAATACCATAATAATCGCTCGACAAACACTCTCTCTCTCTCTCTCTCACACACACACACACATCCAAAGGTCGAATAGTTTTTATTTTGCCGCATTTTTTCACACTCAGATGTCTACCTACAATATAATGCACATATGCATACACCTCACAGCTTACTCAATCTATCTCCATATATCTATAGGCTCAATTTATAGGCATTTTAAAATACCTCGCAAAAAGCACACACACACACAGTGACATTTTTTGTATTGATTTCTATCGATTACGACTCCCTGTTATCATACAAATTGACAGCTAAAAATATACACGCATGTAAAATTACAATATAGTTATATATATATATATTTACGAACAGTTACGCATGTTTGGTCGTTAAATTGTTGCAGCGACGTTTTAAAATTCAAAGCGAGAGTGAGAGATAATGAATTGGTAAAAGAAAATGGGATAAATTCAGATCAAACTACAAAATATCTACATCGAATATTCATGTAGTATTGCATGAAAATTAAAACAAACAACAACAAAAATAAAAGAAGAATATTACTGACCTCATTTTAACTTATAGGCATAATTTTTAGTGTGTGTTGTGGCATCCACAAGCAGAAAGAAAGATTTCAATAGATGATGTATTTTGTATTATGTATATGCTCTTTTTCCACTGCACAGATAAGTGCAGACTGGATTCGTATTGTGAATAAGAAACATATGATTGTTTTTATTTGACTATTCTATTTGTTTTAAATTGTTTTTGTTTTTTTGCTCTTTTTCTTCATGTCAATTAACAAATTAGTACTTAGTTCTTTAGTTAAATTTGTACTTATATATTTCTTCCGATTCAAATTTTCAACAAAAAAAACATTTTGAGGCCAAATAATATAAACTATTTTAAAAAAATCTGAAATTTTTTAGTTGTTGTTTTTGTTATTATTGTTAATTTTTTTTTACTTTGGTTTCGTTGGACCACAATTTACGCAGACGCATAAATTATAATACAAATATTGTTTTTGGATATTTTTTTTACAAAGCAAAATAACGTTCATTAGTGACCACAATGAGCTGATATTTTAATTAGGTCGCTTTTGTACTTTGAGTGTTTTGTTCCATACATTCATTATTATTATTAGTTGGAACCTTAATAGTTCTCTTTTTTCTCATTCTTGCATTTTTTCGTCCTCACAATAATTAATAGGGTGTATCGGTTTTAAAAAATATATTATACATTCTGGGAACCTACGTTGCATACGAAGAACTTTTGTGCTAAGTTTCTATTCTGCGAGTTCTCGGCGTTAAACAACAACAAAAATTCATATTCATTGTTTAAAACGTTCACCACAGCGGGTTCAACGATCGTCGTTCTTTATGTAAAATCACATATCAATTTTTTTTCTTCAAAAAAACGACGCGAACTCTTTATACCATATATTCACGACGTTAACAATATTGTTCTTATAAAATTGAAAGTGTGATATATTTCACTACGGAACCGCATTTCGATGCACCTTATTAATTAACCCACTACGGTGAACTATAATATAGAAAGACACACATCGTGTGCTGCCCGAGTGTTATAAACGAAATAATGGTGGAAAACGGTTTCAATTGATATGACGTAGATTTTGAAAGAAAGGACGAATTAAGCATCACTTGAACGCAATCGAATTACTATGCACACTTTATGTAATTATTTGTTGTTGATTTTTCTTTTGTTGCAATCGCATTGAATTTCATTCAATTTCTCTGTCACACATGTTAATGTGTATGGAAACAATTTACAGTAATTTCATGATATTTTTAGTTCCCATGTTAATTTCCATGTGAGATGACAATCTGCTAAAATGTTCATGTAATGAAATCGAGGTAGTTAAATTCATAAGAGAATATGCCATGACTGGTGAACGAACATGCATGTAAACTATATATATTAGCTGGTGCAATTTACGAGTCAATTGTATTTGCATTCATACAGCTATGATTATGTCATTTATTCGAAATTGATTCTAAACAATTTAGATGAAAATTGAATTTGGTGTACAAATTCCCAAAGGCTTGCTATCGTCGCCAGCTTATACATCCTATGTACGTTTAATCCTCCACTTGTTCATTTCCGTTTGGGAATAAGAGGTTTGATGCGATTCAAAGATGGAATCCCTCCGTCGCCACCCCTCCCATCTGAATTTAAACGGATAAAAAACTGACACACACACATGCAAACACCGAATGATTGGTTTCTTGTTTTCAGGCAACGTTGTAAATTGATGATGACTCTTTTTAATAGGAAAAATCACAAATGCGTTCGCTTTATTTTATCTCTAAGCCAAAGCAGAATGGTTTAATGTGTCACAGCCCAATTTTATATTTAAATTATGAAGCAATAAAATTAAGAAATGACAAATAATTAATTTGAGTAAGATGACACAAGTCAACATAACCACAAAAAAATAAAATAAAATGAAAATAAAAAGGAATAAAACAGTTTCAATCGGTCTAAGAAATGAGATAATTAATTACAAATATTAATAATTAAAACAAATATAGAATATATTTTAAAGATTATATATGAAAGAGAAATGAATTAAAGATATATATAAAATTGAGTTATGTTTTATTTTAATATGCGACAATATTATCTAAGTATATGCATATATATATTCGGGCTGAATGTTGAAGTTAAAATCGAACTAAAATTTCCAAAGATATATTACAAACAAAATAGACGACAAATATTTATTTATACAAATAAAACAGAGAAACGAACAGAAAATTGAGGAAAATTTAATCACAAATAATATTGAATATGTTATGATAAATGATGATGTGTATATTTCCAGTTTCCGAACCATAGAATACGTCTATTAATTCCTCGGTTACACTTTGTTCACAAACAAAACTGGTTACAAATGGACATTCTGTTCTATTGCCGTAGTTTTTATTACTAGAACTTAAGAAATGAGTATATCATCATTGATTTAAATGATATGTGAAGACCGATGAAAATAAAGGAACATTTAACAAATGTTTTATGGACACAACTCAACAAGGAATAAAAAGAGACAGAAATATATATTTGGAATAAAAAAACGGTGCTCAATATATTTTCAAAAAAAAAAAAAAAAAAAATTCTCAATATATATATATATGTAATATTACAAAAATTTGCTATATTTAGATGATGTTTGTTCTTTCTGACATACTTAAATATTATATTTTGGACACGAGAGACGTTAAAGGAGAAGGCAATTGCATGTATTATCAGAAGTGAATTTTTTTTACAATTTGCAATAAAAAAAAATTTATTCGGTATTTTATTTCGGCCTTTTTTCAAGAAGAAATATGCACATTCATATTCAAATAATTTGATAACATTTTAAGTATAAATTTCATAACATTTTTTTTTTTTCAAATAATGATAGAAAGAATAGAAAAAAGCGGGAAAATATTCCTTTATAGTTCTTATGACAAGAGTGCCGTGAAAAGGTTCCTTGGTAGGTTGAGTTTGTATAGAAAAAAAAAATCTCTATATGTTAGTGTTTAAAAGAAAAACCTCTGCTCATTCAATATCAAAGCATAAATCACTTACTGCGAATCGTGTGTCTCTATGTGGCAAACAAAAGAAATAGCATTCTCCCATCTCACACTACTCGTTGATTTTTTTATTTTCAGCACATTTCGATGAAAATCACGGAAAACATTTTGGTTTTACGCAAACTCGCAAAAATCGAACGAAATTTATCGAAATCAAAAAAAAAAAAAAAAAACTCACAGAAAAATGGAAAATATTTGTTGCTAAATGACTCATACATTATAAAGTTGAGATACTTATTATTCAATGTTCTCACTTAAATCGAATCACTTAAAATGTACAATTTCATCAGAATTTTCGTACGTCTCAATTCAATTCAAACTATTTATGCAAAAAGATATTTATATCTCGATATTGATATAAATCACGCGATGAGTTTTCTATTTCGATTCTCACTGCATACGCGACGAAATACTCATAGTGTGTATGATTAAAATTTGAATGAACGATTCCAATCACTGTAAATATCTCAAATTTTTGAACATTTAAAATTGAAATCCCATGTCATGACGTTCACCCATTATACTTCTGTTCAAGAACGATTTCAATTTCGAGTTCAAGACAGCCATTAATTCAATATATCTTACCGAAATTGAACCAAAGAAACACCATATCTTTTATTATATGAGAATTCGAATGTAATCCAAAATCCATAACTTTGAGAATAAATTTTGCTTAAAATCCAATAAATCGTTGTTTTTTATTTAAAAAAAAAAAAAAACATTTTTTATATATATGAAATTAACGCGAAAAGACTTGACGAACTTGCACATATGCATATTGTTAAAAAAAATAGAAAGATGAAAGGATGCATGTATATATTTTTTTCTTCTAATAAACACATAAATGAACATCAATGTTATTATTATTATTTTTTTGTTAAAACATTTATTTAAATTAGTAAAATAATAAAAATAAAATAAATTTATTTAAAAAATATCTCTCTTAAATATGAACGCTGTTGCGTGTATATATGTTAAGTTTTTGTTGAGTTTTGGCAGACTCCATTATGTTTGATGTCGATATAATAGCCGGTATTACATGAATCTCTCATCATGTGACACCACGAATGATAAGATTTGTTGTTCGTTCCGCAAATTTTTATGAATGCTGATTGTTGGCCCTGTTCGTTGTACACCGTGCACCGAAAAAAAAGAAGCATATAAATTACATCATTTGGGTGCTTGTATTGCCCACGGGAATCACAAGCGCACATAAAATCATTTTTTTAATGAGAGGGAAAGAAAGAGATTTCCGTCATTAGTACGTACCTGCGGTCTTTTTCGTCGTGGACACTTAAAACTACATGCAACACATCTTGGTCGGTGAGTTACCAAATCGCTCAAGCAAACTTGTCTGTCTTTGCATCTGACGGTATCACAGTTCGCGCTTTCTACAAATAAAAATAAAAACGAAGATTATGGGTTTTTATCGCTTATTAGTGACAATTTGCTCGTTGTACGTCCCAACGCATTCGGTATTGACCAACAACAGAGAATAAAAAAAACAACAACGAAAGAAAAAGCATCACCGTAAATTTGAAACGTGAAAGGATGGGCAGTGCATTAAAACAGTATATTCAGCTCAATGAGAGAGCATCTTTTTTACAGAGATTATTATTAATCTCTAAAACGGGACAGCCATTTTGGTATAAATTTCATTAAAACCATTCAAAAAGGTTGTGCATCGTAAATTGAGTAAATATTTGACTTTTTTCGATTGCAAACATTTTATCCCCTTGCATTTAAATTAAAATAAAACGTAATTAGATAAATCGAACAATTAATTATGGGTCAAAACAGTTAAATTCATGTGTTGCTATTTTTATTCATATTTGGATTTTGTGGTTGTTATTATTATTATTGAAATCATTCATCATTCAAAGGCTCAAATGGAAATCATCAACAATTGAATTTTGAACAGATTCTGCGAATTAAAAAAAATATTACCAAAATCCAAAACATTTCGAAGTCAACTTTAAATGAGAGTTTTTTTTTGGGAAATGTTCTTGGAAGTAATTTTGCAGACTACAAATTATTTAATTTTAAGCGATAAAAAAATCTAATTGGCACACCAAGTGTTAATAGCTGTGTGCAAAGCACAGCAGAAGAAATCCGTATCATTATATAAATACGCTGAAACACAGTACGATGTTAACAGTTCGCTAAAATAATGTTGGTCTGCTTTTGACACATCTATGATTTAATTCTGATATACATTTGAAGGTGGCTTTCAGATTTGAAATCAAATGATTTGTAAAATCAACAAATCATGGAACACATCATGATTTGGATGGTCGTGTATATTTTAAATCAAATCAAATGATTTGACTTTTATTTTGATTTGAAAAAAGTTAAATCAAATCAATCAATGATTTAATATTTGAAACATTCATTTTTTTACATTTACCGTGGTCGTTGGTTTTAGTGTTTTCAACTTTCGTCTAAGACCCACTTGACCATCTTTTTTTAAATATTGATGGTTTTTGCAAAACAAAATATACAGTATTCCAACTAAAACTAAGTTTTGATCTTTTCTACCATGCCTGATGTATCAAATAGAAAAATCAAAGTGATACAAAGAGCATCGATACCCCAAAGACAACGTATAAGAGCAAATATTATGGCGAACTTTGCTTAATTTATATTTTCATAAAATAAAATAAATGTCTGTTTTAAACGTTTGCACTTCAGTTAAAATGTGGTCATCGCATTTATGGCTTTAGATGTTTGCCTTTAATTTCAACAAGCCGATGAATTATTTAGTTATTTTGCATTCGTACTTCAAATGAATAAATGAATCATTCCAGCATCTTCTTTGCATTTCGATTCATTCTATTGTTTATTTCAGTCAACATTATTTTGCAGTATATAATGAAATAATGATGCAATTGCTTTCATACATAATCATTAAAATGTTTACCGAAAAAGACTTTTTTGCTCTGGTTTTTGGTTGGAAAATTGTTTGTGGTTGCAGAGATTATATCTGTGGTAAAACGATATATTCAAGTCAAATATTTCATTTGTTTCAAAATGTATCACATTGTATGCATTCAAACGTACATCATTTATGGTATATTTAGTGGTTTTCCATCTAGATTTTAATCATTGTTGTTTCTCTCGTTGCATTTTTCATTTATAATTGACCAGATTAAAAGTTTTTTTAAAAAACCGCTAGTTACGGTATTGTTTCATTCACAATCCACTTTAAAGCATTTCATATATTTAATTAATTTCTGTTTGAACTGGGTATAGTATAAATTTCATTGCGAATTCATTCTTTGTTAAATGAGCTTTATTTTGATGTGAAACCACATCAAAGTTATAGTTTTAGTCATTGTCTGAGGATGCAGCCGTGCCAAATGTGCGATTAAAAACGAAGACGGAGACGGTGGGAGAAAGAGAGAGAGAGGGAGATGCGAAACGATGGAATATCCATTAGGCGAGGTAGAAAAAAGAATGTGAAAACAAAGAGACATAACGTCATCGGGCACATCCGATCAAATTCAAAAAAGCCAGAAAATGAGAAGAAGACAAAAATAACGACCGAAACGCCGACGAAATTTCCGCATTTTTGCAAATTTGTTTGTGAAATCGGGTCGAGGCGCACCTTACAAAACGGCTCCTTATCGAACCGCTAATATAGTTTATTTTTGTTTTTTTTTTTTTTATAGTCATTCTGTGTGTGATCCCTACCAAATCTCATCTTATTGATGAGTTTCAATATTGACTTCTAGGAATTTCATTTATTTACCGCAGGACCACTATCGAAACGATGAAGACGCATACATATGCGCTCGTGCCCACAAAGAAACCACCAAAAAAATGACGACAAGCACTAAGTTATAAATTATGTCTAGGTCTTTAAATCCAAAAAAAAAATCGCAACAAAAAGGGAACAGAACAGGTCAACGGCGGCAAAACAAATATATATACACACACACACAAGTATATGTGTTGGCGCGCATATTTTATCAAAAGTAAACAAGTCAACTACGTATCATTTAACTCGGTCGATTCGGCGGAAAAATTCTCGCAAACAGTCGACACCGACGGTGGTTTTTTTATTCTTTTTTTTTTCAATCGTTGCTTTGAAATATTTATATCCTAAATTGACGTTGAATCTTAATGCTTGCATTTCGCATATACATAGACTGATTTCCCTTCAATTTATGCTTTTTTGTAATTTTGTGAATTTTATGATACCTTCAGTCTGACTATCTTCTTCATGTGCATAATAAATGTAGTGTATATGTTGTTGTTTATTTTTGTTTTGTTCTTTTTTGTTGGGTCGACGAAATTATCGCCTCATCCGAAGCTCGCGCGCGAATGTAACGCAAAGTCATTTTATTTATTTTCAAAAAACGGCCCGAATTGAATTTACACATTTGCTAATGGTGAGGAGCATAAGACACTGCAAAAACATGTTGTTATCACAGAATTCGAAATTTTTTTTCGAGGTGTTATATACATTCGGTTTATGACTCGAGTATGTTTGATGTGTGCAATTTTAACTTAACAATTCTCTCGCAACACGTTTCTTCTTCAATTTTTATATATACGTTTACGTGCAATTTTTTCTTTCACTCGTCTCTTTTTTTGGGATATGATGTACGAAACATTGCTATGCCTCACTTTGCATGCACTAAACAAGCAACAGCAGAGCAAGAGTAACAGTAGAAGAAAAAATAACAAACCACTCACACCCGACAAACGTATAATGTCAATGTTTACAGACACATAAATTTTCATTAAAAACGTTTGCGTATACAATTCACAAAAATGCGATTGACGAAATACTCGTTAAATTCGGTGTCATTTCGTGTGAGGAGTGTGAAGGCGCGTGAGCGCGCGACTTTTGATTAAATTGCAAGCATAATTTTTGTGTGCGACTTGCATGTGTGTTTATGGAAATGAGAGGATGCATTGTAAATTTGTGTGCCATAATCATGTGTGTTATTTTTTGTTCTTGTTTTCAATTCAAACTTCGATTTTGTCGCGTTGCTCGTCTCGTATTTCATTTTCTTCGTCGAGAGTGTGGGGAGTAGTGTGTGGTTGATGCACAAAAAAAGAAACAAAAATTGTTATTATCAACGCGCCAATTGAATATCAGCGTGTTTTTTTTTGTTCTTGTTGCTTCATTTCTTTGGTTCATCAACATTAGGGGGTGTTTATTAGAGACCTTCATGTGATTATTTTGGTGATCGATTAAATGAGTCGATTTTGAAAATGCCACGCAGTCATTTTTTTCTCCATCTCGTTTCATCTCCTTTTTCCCTCTTTCACTTCACGCCTTTCTCTTGCATACATACAATGACCGGCCGACCGCTTACATTCAATTTACCGAAGAGAGAGGTTGAGAGAGAGAGAGAGAAAGAGAGAGAGAGAGAAGCAGACGAAAAGTGCATGGGCTCTTTGTTTATGTGGTCCCCATGATAAAAACTAGTACACAAAACATAATGAAGAGAATTAATTCAAATGCATTGTGGACATTTATGTCATTGCATGCAGTATCACAAAGATCACGTTTTATTTTATTTTTTTACGTCTTCTTTTTTTAAATTTTGTGTGTTGCGCTTATTTTTTCCACTCTTTTCCTCTTTCTGTTTTAAACGTTTGCGACGGTTCGCGCTAACTAAAATGATAAAAGTTTGCGTGTCGCGTACGGTTTTTTTTCTTCTTTCTTTTTTTTTTTATTTCAATGCGACACACTCCATAGCCATATATATGTGTGTGAGAGTGTGTATACCTTGAAAAGTGTGTTTGCATTAGTGCAGTGCGAACGCGACCACAGTGTAATTTAACTCTGCAAATGTATAAATAAGCCGAGTAAATAAGCCAAATACTTTAAGGTTTTTTTTTGGTGTGCACTGTGTATGCACATCTCTATTCACCATCAGTGTGCTCAAACAAAATGACCTTCGGCAACCTTGGAACAAGAAAGTTCATTTACATTTCGTCTGTTACATTTCTCCCATTGCACTCACTCTCTTTTGAGCGGCACTCTCAATACATTCACTCATTTAAAATGTGCAGGTGAACACGGTGTGTCCTGTGTCATTTTGTATTTTGTGATTTCATGTTTTTTTCTTCTTCTATTTATCAACATGAATTGATCATTGCGAGCAAACTATGAAATTATCTCGATTGCAAAAAGCGATTCGATGTTTTATTTCAATGAGTACAAATAGTAAATCTGATTGAGTTAAAGAACCATTCTTTTTTGCTCTCAAAATGATAACACACACACATGTATATAAAAATTGAATTCTCATGCATGCTAGCGTATTCTCTGCTTCAATCATAATTGAGTCAATTTGTTTTTGTGTCATTTTATCTTTCGCTTAATTTCATTCGATTTGTAGTTTTAGTGTATGTATAGAGAGAGCGACAAACCAATTTGTAAAAGCGATTGTCAGAAAACGAGTTATGAGTGAGTATCCTTTTGAAATAAAAACACGTTCATTCTCTTGATATTGATTAATGACAAACAAAAAAATTTCATAAAATCCATCAATATAACATTTGCTATAAACATATTACAGGTGTATAAAAAGAGACACACACAAAAATGATTGAGAGCCGAAGATTAAAATTCATCGGTGTACGTTTTTTTTTTTTTTGTAAATTTTAAATCTACATTGAAAAAGATCTTACCTTTGCAAGCCCCACGATAGGCAACCGGTATAGAACGTCCCAACATGCATGCGCTACGTTTAATTTCGCAAAGATTACGGTATGTTTGGCCATCAACTCCGCAAACTAAACGGGCTGGATTTGAAATAACCGACTTCACAGCAGGATCATATGGTGGACAAGTTATTGAGCATGTCACACAATGTGGCATCAAGTTTTGATCCTCTAAACAGTGTTGTCCAATTGGACACTGTACATGCTTACAGGAAGCTGCAAAATATGGCAATAAAAACAAGATAAAACATTTAACCCATACAAAATCGAATGCTAATAATGAATGAAGAGAAATCGAAACATCGAGACTGGAGACTAAACTTCCACAATGTAACATGAAAAATGAACACGAGCCAGCAATCAGCTTATCTTTGGCTTTGGATTGAGAACAACATTGGGAATATTTTTTTTTGAGTTTTGGTTTGCACCGTAATTCAAAAGGAAATTTTTTGCATTCATGCTGTTGCACATCGCTCGAATGGTGTTTTATTTTTTGTTGAACTGGATTGATACTGCGGTTGCCTATTCTTACTATTTTGATATTTGGTTCTATCTTTTGCCATATAATCGCGATTATATCAGCGTAATTTCCAGTCATCCGAACATACATTGTTTCTACTTGTAGACGCAGGCTCATGAGCGCGCGCGCGCACGCTCACAATGCATAAAAAAAACTTTCTTCGCCGTCGTCGTCCAATAATTGCACACTTCGTCCATACACAGTTAGCTGATTGACGCGCGGTAAACATTTTTTTTAAAGGAAGAACGAGTGTGAGTGAGAGAGAGGGAGTAAGAATTACCATTCGATTGCACGATACTTTGGTTACATCGCTAGCTTGTACGCTAAAAACCAAACAAACTTTAACAAAAAAAATGGAGAGAGAGCTGCAATGTATTCATTCAATTCATGTTACCATCTAAGATTGAGACTAGCAAGCGGTCATTCCGAAGAGAGAAAGAAAAAAAAACTGTTTAAAATGTTTAATAGGAAATTGATATGAACGTCCCGAACCGATCATTAAAGATTGATACGAAAATTCAATGCGAAAACAAGTCACGATTTGCCGTATTCTTTTCTCTCGAGATTCACTTCCATACAATGTATTTGCTCTGTATTGAAACGACAATGTCTTTTCTATGTTCATTTTAGTTTTCCATTGTTTGCAACCAAAGCAACTTGGTTTCATGTTTAATTTTGTGATTTTTCGACGAACTTTATGAATCGATTTTGTATTTGAAAAAAAAAAAAAAAAATAATAATAATAATAATAATAATTGCGTATACATGGCCGAAGCGAAATGCACCTAGCCGGATGTTTTGATATCCAAAATTGATTATCATTTGAATGCTGTGCATGCATCGCTTACATTGCATTTTTGGCATTTGTTTTGACTACATGTGACATTTAACTGATCATTACAAAGTAGCTGGAACAGCAACTGTCTCACTGTATGTTGATTGCTTCTTCTTTTTATCGTCGTTGTTATTGTTATTGTAAGCGATGGAGCACTGATCATACGATAATGAATGCAAAATGATTTGCATTTTGTGCACATGACGAATTATCACTGTGTCAACGAAAAGAAAAAACGACTAGAGAAGCAAAACAATAACAGAACAGCAACAACAAAAACATAAATCAAGAGCTACCGATATAAACAATGATGTAATTGATTCTCTCTTACTTTCTGTCTTTCTTTCTTTCTTTCTTTCTTTCACTCGGCAATATTCATTTTAACTTGACAATGCAAATGTGATCTTCGGAAACGTCAAATCGGCAGAATATTCTGTATTTCAGCCGTGTGTTTATGTTTGTATGTATCTGCACATGCAATGTCTGTGCATTATAGTTTTAACTCTATCGTGCAAACGTCTATCTCACTGTCTGTCTACCCAATGTATAAAAAATTGTTTCTTATTGTTATTACGTTCGTTTCTGTTTCATTGTATCTTGTATGTTTACATATGTTGTGCATACAAGTTATTTTTTATTTTCTTTAATTTGAATTCATTCCGATTGGATCGTCGAAATTGCACGTTTTCTACAGGAAAGTTCGACCATCAGACGAGCTCGATGAACATTAATGTTATTATTATTATTATTGGTGTTGTTGTTGCCGTTGTGTGGAAATGTTTCGGTGAATAGCAGACGGTTAATAAATACCGCAATCATTCATGTTTACAATTATTTATGTCTGTCTCAATTCTATGTCATCTATTTATTGCAAGTCCGTGCATGCACTCTCTTTGTCTATTTTGCATTTGCAAATAATAGACAATAAATTAGAATGAAAAATAGAAGACAATTGAGTACATACATGAAACAAAACTGAAATACATTGAAAATGAACACCGTTCCTACAAAATAGTTCCACTCTAAAGAGCACCGAATGCGATTGTGCTGCAAAATGAATTGCATCGCAAATTTGTAACATTTCCGTAACAAATTCGAGCCGTCAAACCTCACAACGGAGGAGAAAAAGATATGCAATGTCAATAATGCAAAATAGAACTTTAGAAAAACAGCAGCAGAAACATTGCAAATGAAAAATGGTAAATGCATTGATTTGAAGAATGGAAAAAGAAAAACAATCGCGACAAACAAAAGGCAAGTTCCATTGAATCTTAAAGATCCATCTAATTTGCTTGTTATTTTGATTGACTCCTGTTTTCCAAATGAGCCAAACATTAAAAATAAATTACATTCGCTAGAAATGCAGTAAATAAAATTGAACAACAACATCAACTGTGCGCTTCAACTAACATCATCAACACATTTCGATGTATGCACATTGAACCATACTTACTTTGACACTGTCCTTTATAAGCAACCAATAGAGATGTTGACTCTTGTCGACAAGCGATTTTTCTCAATTGACATTCTGTTTTGTATGTCTTTCCATCGGTGCCGCAAACCGCTCGATGAAATTGATTGTTATCGTACAGCTGTTTTTATTGTATAACACAAAACAAAAAGAAACGAAAAAGAGATGAAGAAACAGAGAGGGAGAAAAAAAGCACATTAAAACGATAAGAAAGAAGGAGAAACACTATAAATTAATAGACTATTCTAATTTAAAACTTCAAAGCGAACGAACGCTTTGAAAAAAAGAACATACAAATTTGAAATCAACAAATGAATCCCATGAATTACATGGTTCGATTATCTATTTTCAATGGGAATGTTTTGTTTGGCTTTGATTTTTAGCACAACGACAACAAACTTACGTGTAGATCAATTGGCGGATAAGGTATGTCATGTCCGTAAAATTTCGATTTAAATTGTTGCTCTACGGAAGTTTGACGTCGATGATTCACATTCACAATGTTGTTATCGATGAGACTGCTGTTGCTGTAGACATTTTTCTGCAATAATTTGTTCGAACGATGATGATTTATGTCGATTTGGTGTCTGTTTTGTTGTTGTTGTTGTTGTTGTTGTTGTATTGTATGTGAATTATTCATTGATTGCCCGGTGGTCGTCAAAGAGGTCATCGTTGTCGTGGCATCCATTAAATGCTTCATTGACTTTACCATACTTTGTTGGCCATTATTGTGTAAATGAATTTTCTTAGATCTATGACTACTAATACTTAAATTGGAAGGATGTGGAATTGGTGCAATGATCGATATAATTTTATCACTTTTCGTGTACGAACGATTGTTCAATTCATCGTCAATTATTTGAACAGCATCGTGTGATGTGGGATCGTCATCATTTTGAATACTTTGGTGATGGTGCAGGTGATGATGTTGGTGTTGATGATGATTACCATTGTTGCCACTGTTGTGATCGTTTGAACGTCGTGGTAGATTCAGTCCATGATGATGTTGATGATTATGTTTGATTTGTAATGAATGTGTGTACGGATTGCCACGCTTTGGTCGTTGATTTTTGGTTTTACATTTTGGAGCACATACACATTTCGGTTGACCGGAACGCATTACGCATTTCTTATGTGTACCACATTTGGCCGTTTTGCATGAATCTATTTGGGCAATGCATTTAAATGGAAAATGGAAATATTTTAGATATGAGAAAAAAAATCTATTTAGATGCTGACACACACACAAAATGCTTGATAAAAAATGTTTGTGCGCACATCAACGATTCTATTACATAATAATTTCGGAGCATAAAATGTTAGATATAGATATGAATGCTTACCTATGCATGAACTACATGCAGTACCATCGCCTAATGCGGTTGCAAAGAAATATTCAAATTCGGTCATTTCCTTTTCCGTGAAGCCGACATCGTCGTCGCCTCCACAACATTTCTCTCTAGACACATTCCGTTCCATTGGATGCTTGCATTTTCCACTTTGTGTTCTTTTTGCCCAGCAAGTACCAGCTGCAAAATGAAGATAAAAACAGAGTGGGAAAAAAAAACAAACCACACGAATATCACATAAATCTAACAATCTAATTGCAAATCACATGTACAGAGATTTCATATGGAAATAAACGAACAACCGTGTGTAATCTATTCTCATTAAGATGCCCGCGACTAAATAAATTCACTGAAAATGGTGCATTGCACGTTAGAAAGCGAGATCTTTAGTTCTTGATTGAAGACCTTTTTTCTCATTCTATCTCTCTCACTCTCTCGCTCTCAGTCCATGATTATTATTATTATAGTAAAACATTTGTTAGTGATATCGCTGAAGCTTTGTTTTTATTTCAACCATACATCAAATGATAGAGCCTAACGTACGTGCTTAACAAGCTGTGACACATTTTATAATCTAAAGGTATAATAATGCGGTTCGTTCGTCGTTGCTCCGTATATATACAATGTATATTGTGGTTATGACAATTATATGATATGCGTTTAAATGCAACATTGTTGGTATCGCATCGAGAACAGCACCAGCAGCAAAAGTAGCCGCCTCAAATCAGATCGATACAATTTAATGAATAACATTCTCAACTAAAAATAGAATAATCGCACTTATATTGTTTCTACGAATCAAATTTACAATAATTCCCATCGAACCAATAGTATTGTATCTCTCTCTCTCTATCTCTCCCCTGCTCTCTCTAAATGTGTACACAGAAGAGCGCAATAATTGCACGCGCGCCTTGATTGAAAAACGTGCCTTGGGTGAGTGTGTGAAGTGCATGCAAACGTTCTATAACCAATTGACCACAATCGTATCAATTCCAATTTCTAGCCAACAATCCATCCACATTTGCGCACCATCCACTTCATTCACATTTATCAATAAAACATCTGATATTCATAATAATAATAATAATAATATATATAGACATTTTAATATATGTTTGGGGTTAGCTCACATATAAATAAATACCATGGATTTTCAGATGAGAGAAATGTGCTCATTTCGTTACATACACATCTTGATGCCCAATTTAAACAAAAGCAAATGATCATCATCATCGTCAACCCATCACGAGTGATTTAATTGATTCAACAGTAATTGAAACGCACACAAAACCGATTATTCAAACAAAAATGAAATTCTGAATTTAAATTCAATGAACCGGCACTCCTACCGGCCACACAATCTAATCGAAAATTAAATTACCATTGAAATAATAAATCGATTGATTGATTCAAAGAAATTCCATAATTTTAAATGAAATTAATTGTGCTACCTGTAGTATTGTCTATCCCACTCTTTTTATCTCCGGAATATTTGAAAATTTGTGCATTTTATGGTAGGATGAGAATACAATGAAATTGGTTTTTTAAAAAAAATAATCAACGACTGCACAGTGTTTCAGAGTTAGACAGCAAAAAAAAGTGAAATAGGATGATTATGGTCAAATATTTCCGTTCAATAAAAATTGATTGAGTGATAATGGTGTATTTAATGGCTAAACGGAAGTACACTGGACAGTTTTGTTCGTCATTAGTTTTCGTCAATTCGATTGAGACCCTAAAAGCAACTGTGAATGACCTTCATCCACTCGATCAACCATTTAGGCTGCCGCCACTGCAGCTTCTGTCGGTGGTTGTTCATTCTTCAATTGGTCTTTTTTTGTTCTTGATTTTTGATGATGATCATCATTATAATGTTAAACTACAAATTAGAATAAATGGATATTCTCGAACTTACCATGAACCATATCAGCGAATGTTAACGAAACGAGAATTACAATGAGGATGCGCGAAATATGTCTACTAAAAAATGTTTTACATTTGGATTTTGTTAAGCCACCTCCAACAACATTATGTTCGTGGTGGTGGTGGTGGTGGTGATGGTGATGATTTTGGCCGTCGCCGTTGCTTGTGATCGCATTAATAATCCGTGTTTTTATTGTGATGAAACGGGGATATGTGGTTGTTGTTTGTTTGCCGTGTCGTGTGGTTGTCATTTTACAGAAAATAGCCAATGCATCGTATTCAGAGTATTAATTAAGTTTAAATATTACGAACAATAATAAATTCTTTTTTTTATATTTCTTTTACTTGATATGACTCTGGTGGATCATTTTTCGATTAATCTTGATGTTTATTTGATTGCAACACATTGATCGCAAGGTACAACACTTTCCGCACTTGTCCAATTTAAAAACAAGTTTATTTTTTCTTCTTCTTCGTTCGTTTTGTCGTTCTTATATTTTGTTATTCTCTTGCTTTGTCATAGTTAAATATATATATATATATATATGTGTGTTTTTCTCTCTCACTCTTTCTCTCGAATTTCGATGTGTATTTATAATATTTGCATCGTATTCATGTTGCAAAACATTTGTTTTATCAAATGTCTACATATTTTTGATCTCACATTCCATTTAATTAAGTCTGCACAGAAAATCATGTTTTCAATATTCGTAATTGTTTAACTGTATTTATTTTCTTTTCACCACAAATGCACGTTAATTTTTCAGGTGCGGCACGAGTTCAGCTTTAACACTTTACAGTTCTGATTTATTGGATGATTTAAATATTTTGTTTATTATTATTATTATTATTTTTTTACAGAAATGTTCACTGGAATTTTTATTTATGTACTGGATATTTTTCTTTCTTTCGAAGTTTTAAGCAAAAGGACTCTTTTTTTATTTGGATTATGTAATGCAGAAATAAAAAAATGATCATTTCAGTCATATATTTTATTTATTGTGTATTTTGTTTGAAAATTAATATTAAAAATCTAAGATGAGTATTGAGTCTCATGAATTGTGAGCTTTTTATGTTATCGAAATGTTGTTGATCGTTTCGCGATTAGAAATGTAATGTGCAAATGAAAATCAATGAACCGCGTCGTACGTGCGCATCACAATTAGTAAGTACAATGCAATATATTTTCATTCACTGGTTCGCTACTAGTGATTCACGCACGTGTCAAGTGGTGTTTTTCAAATTTTGCGACGGAGATATTTTCATTCATTTCTTGAAATGTTTACAAGGAATTACAAGTTGGAAACAAATCAATCTCAATTCAAGCATTTGTTGTTCCATATTTGAATTTTGTTTTTCGTTGTATTGCTTTCCAGAAATGTGCATATCAACACAAAAAAAAAATAATTGTTGATTCCTTTTACTCACAAAATATGTACACACTAGTTTGTGTTTGTGTACAGTTTGCTGAATTAACTAAACTACGCGCTTGGTACAAAATTCTATAGACATCGCAATTTTTGCTCGTGTAGAGGAGTTGCTGCGTATTTCGTATTGCATTTCATTGCACTTTAAAATTATGATTTCTACAAAATGCGGTCATTCGATTGAGTTTGACGTAGGAAGTGTGAGGAACGACAAACAAAAATTTTGACTAAAATGAATTTCCTCTCGAGAAAAAGAAAACAAACAAATAAATATCATAGATTTCGCGTGAAATTCGATAGAACATTTTGTTGACTAATGAAAGCGTGAAGTGTTGGTTTTTCCGTATGTGCGGGAAAAATCCCACAATTTTCAGTGAATTTTGGTTTTTACGCTTTGGTCATCGACTCGAATATCGATAAATATAGCGTGCGGCATACAATATTGTCCAATAAACTTCAGGTGTTTACGATTTTTATTTGAAATAGAACGGAGATGAAAATACACGAAAATCAATTTTGAATTGAATTTCAATTGCCGACACGATACCATAAATGGTAAAAAGTTGTGCTTTTAACATACATTTTTTTCTTCTTCTGCATTCTAATATTCTCAACAACAATGCAACAAAAAAAATCAAATGAAAACTCACTGAATTCACACTTCAACACTTTTGAATGCTACAATTAACTGCAGTTCCGGCATTTCGATTTCCGATTGTGAAAAGTTAAATGAATCAGTTCTATTTGATGCACCGAATGAAATCATTATTTTTTCTCCATTTTTTTTTTATTTTCGTTTCTTTGTCGTTTAAGGGGACATAGTAAACGACTTTTTTCGGCCAATTGGAGTATTTCACTTGTTTGAAATGTAATAGAAAAAAAAAACAATTAAATGGCAACCGTTCTGTCACCAAACGGAAATTGATGTTCAATGGCAAGAAAAATAAAAAAATCAAAACAGAACACACGTTACGCTGAACGATATTTGGAATATATATTCGACGACAGTAGAAAATTCAAACAACAGAAATACAAATCGTGCATGAGCCCAGCGTCCACACACAGTGTGCTTGCCTCGATCATCAAACATATACTGAATTTTATTCAGATGTAAAAATGGATTTGAAGTTTACGCAAAAGTGTTTGCCGTTGTTGTAGCCGCTTTATTTATGTAGATATCTATATTTTTATATTTTGTGCAGCACCATATTAATACCATAGTACACATATATATATATATATATACGAACATTTATAAAAAAAATAAGATACAAAAAAGAAAAGCAGCAAACGAACGAATGAACGAACAAAAAAAAGCATAAGCAAACCTTTAGAATGTGCACAATGCACACAATTTATTTCATACAAAATGTGTACTCTTTTGTGCCGTGTGTCTGTATGACTGTGGCAGGCGAATGAGTGCGCGCACGCGGCACAACTATCGTAGTATATACATATATACACATGAGGTGAGCAAAAGAAACAGATAGACAGAGAAAAGGAGATAGAAATTATCGCAGGAAAATGTGTGCGCGCGTTTCGCGTACGGCCTCTCTTAAATATTAATACAGTGTGCAAAATATGGTGCGCTTGATCACGCGCGCATACACCAAAGAAAGCCACATGATGAAGTCTCTCGTTCTATCCGCGGTATACAGTGAGAGAGATGAAAAAAAACGTAATCGAAATGAAATGTTCTTTTGTTGAAGATGTATTGGAATTTGTGTGCAATTTTGTTGATTGATAACTGCGTCGACGGAAGGATTGATTGGTTGGTGCTCCCTCCTGTATATGTTCCGTCTCTCATATCTTTCTCCCTCTATCGTTTTTCTCTATTACCGACTAATGTGGCATTCCATTTGGCCAGAAAAAATGTGTGCAATTGGATTTTATAGACTTGTTCCCTAGCAACTAAATTGGGCCAATGCATCAAACTCCACTTCCTTTGCATTGAAAAACAATCTTCAACAACAACAAGTACACTAATGATGGACAATGGCAACAACGAAAAAAAAAACAGCGCATCATTTTCAAAATCACAAATGCGAGACAGAGATTAAGTGAAAGAGGAGTGAGAAGAGCGCACATGAAACGAACCTGCATATAAGCGCACGAAAAGGCAACGCGCGCATGCGCCCCAATAAGTGTGTGTATTCTTTTGCTCTTCTTTATACTCCACACGATTTGTTGATGCATTTTTTTTCGTTCACGCAACTCCGGCTATTGTATTGCCCTTCGCGCGCGCTTATTGCAGCATTTAAAATTCTGATTTTATTTTTGTCTTTCTTTTTTGTGGGCATTCTGTCTCGTTTGGTCGAACGATTATTTGTCGATGACTTTGTAAGTTTATTAATTTTGTTGAATTCGGCTTTGGTTTTTCGCCAAATGTAATTCAGTCGCGAGACATTGCGATGATCAATGTGGAAACAAAGTGTATTATGACAGTTTTGTGTGCAGAATTTTAACGCCAAAATAAACTGAATTTCGACTTGAATTATATGCAGCACATTGTTTTTTTTTGTCAAACGCACGTTGAACTATCAAAGCAATTACATATTATTCTCCTGAAATCCTTTTTTTTTCGTGCCAAAAGGAAGTCCGATGATCAAAAAACAACAAATCAGTCTCGATTGTCTGGTTTCAAACTTAAAATGAGCATCTTCCTTGGATCGTACACACCATAAAAAGCATGTATTTGCATAGTGATTTGCGTGTAGTTATGTGTTGCATGTGAGTTTCTCATCTTTTTCCGTGCGTAACATTCTCTGTTCCTACAGCACACGCTCTTTTTTTGTTGTTTTTTTTTTTTATTTTCTTTCTTCTTTTTCGGTACACTTGTTACGTGCTTGGCCTGGCCGCGATGACGGCCAGCACGAGCAATTGTGTGTGTCTCTGTCGTTACTGCCGTGTGCCGTTGATCTAGTCTGCACGTGTAAATTTTTGATCGCTTCTAGAAACGGATGACCAAACACAAATACAAATCTTACATGGTCGATATTTGCATGCATTAAAGATATAATAATAGTTTATGGACTTATGAGCTGGCCACTTAATTGAATTAAAAAAAAAATAATATATGATTCAAAACGAAATGAAAATGAACGTATAATATTTTTGTGGACAATCAACGCTTAGTTGCGATACAAGTTGCATCAACAACTTTTGGCTCTTGAACATCTCAAAATCGAACAAAACAAGTCCACAAACATAATTATCAGTGAAGCGAGCAAAAATGAACGTAAAATAAAGTCATGTGAAGTCATTGCACGTTATCCAAATCAATGGATTTGGTCTGGCGACCAAAGTACTAACAAACGATTCTCCTTTTTGCTCATTATCAACATACACATACACACAGATAATAACCTGTTGATTCATTCTATATACACTATAGAGTACGTAAATCATTGATTCTTTATCCAGCTACCGAAGCCAAAATATACATGAAGTCTCTCGCACATTGATTTGTATCATTCATAGAACTCATATTTCTCTTTTTGCTCTCTCTCTCTCTCTCTCTCTCTCTCTCTTTCTCTCTCTCTCTCTTTCTCTCTCTCTTTCTCTCTCTCTCTCTCTCTCTCAAGAACCAGAGATGTTCACACAATTCCCATACGCATAGAATGTACACTTCTTCAGTTGTGTAGTAATGTTATTCTCGTTAGAGTCCAGTCTGGTGTGCACAAGGACTACAATTATCTTCTCTTTTTTTTCCTAGATGAAATCGACACTACGTGCAATGATTTCGGTTGAGACAAGTGAGTAGTTTTGTGTTTACTACAAAAATACTATGACTGTATAAAAGATCATTCTCTCATTTCTGTACTCTTTCTCTCACTCTCTATCTCCGTGTTTCTCGTCGCTCTTCTTTCATGCTGTGACTGTGAATCAGGTCCATATCAATTGAAATATGTTCACGTAGATTTTCTCAACGAATGCGTTGTTATATATAAATTAATGAGAGACAGCTATATTGTTCTGCACACCTCACCATTGCATCGAATGAATAAGTATTTCATTAATAAAATGAGCAAGATTGTGATTCATCGCGTAATGTGCATCATTAATCACGTTTGTATATATGCACGTTGTGCTGACCGTATAAGTTATTCATAGAAGATGTGAGAATTTAGCTTAAAAAAAACCGCGTGTAAGAGAATTGACATTCATCAATTTTTCTCTCTCTCTATCTCTCTTTTTATACAATTCGACTGTTGTTGCAGTTTTTTTTCGGAACGGTATGAAAATGTGCTATATTTGGATTATTGTGTGGCTGTGTGTATGTTATTTCGAATTTTTGGAATTTCACAAAAATACTCATACACACACGAGAATTTAGCGCTTGTAATTTGAGCACGATTGATATTATGATCCTGTGACACATTTCGCAGCTATTTTAATGACGCAATGAATAATTATGACATTTTAAAGAAACAACAACACCGAAAAGGTTGCCGTTTTGTATTTGGTCACTCGACACGAAAAAATTCATCGAGTTCGTCGAGTTCGTCAACAAAAACAACATGAATTATTGAGAGTGAAAAAAGAGAATATATAAACGATAGATTCCATCAGAGCTATGAAGGTTTGCCTACGTAAAATCGTTGTTTTGTCTTGAAATTTAAAGTAAAATCAAATAAAAATGCAACCGATTAAGACGAATCAAAATTATTACTTGAAGAAAAGCTAAAACAAAAAAAAAACGATTGACAGTTTACTGTTCGATGGGCGAAAGAGTTGGGTCGTTAGGTGTAGCATTTGAATGTGCGTCCACGCAATTCAAAATAATTCTGTCATTTTTATGTATTTCAATGACCCAGTATTTGAAAATAATATTAATAATAAAGTTACAATTTGGCAGAATTGCGAGCCGATATTTTCTCACTCTCCGTTGTTTGCACGAACAACGAAAACCAAAAAAATTCAACAAACACAATTCAAAAACATAAATAAAACGGAATATTGCCTATTCGAATTTCGAATAACAACAGGCGATTCATGAGTGAGACGCGATTGGCATTTCATTGGCTCTGGGCAAAATTGCTTTCGTGTCAATTGCACAAACTTACACTGGAAAACAATGCACCCATGCATCGACACAACACGATAGATCAATAGAATAGCTAGGCACGCGGCAGCATGCGGTGATCTCGGCTGCACTGCCTTCGATTCGTTCTTCTTTTAAGTTTTATCTCCTAGGTTTCGTTTGAAGTTTATGGTAATATCTAACGTATAATTGAGACAACTGCAATTATTCTCTTATTAAATGGACATTAGGATGGTGTACAATCCATTTTACATCTTTTTTTTTTCTCTCTCTCTATCATATTTATTTTTATTTGCCAGACGTTATTATATATCTTAATTGTAGTGCATATGTCATTTTGTAATTTATATTCTGCAAAATTCGATTCCGTTTTATGAAAGGAAATTGACATGAAATTAAAAAAAAACGCTTGAATGGCATTTCCAAAAGATCTTCTAAATATTACATGTTTTAGAATTCAAGTATTTTTTTTCTGCAAATACAAGTATATTGTGTCATTTTTATAAGAAAAATCATAACAATTTGAATTGGATTGTTAAAATTGATTTAAATTTGAAACTAATAACATGCTATATGTGTGCCAAATAGAAAAATAATTCAGCCGTAATTTATTGCATTCGAATTTAATAAAAAAAAATTGAAGAAAATTATATAATTGCATGATTTTCGTCAATACCTAATGGACTCTGTTTCCAGTCAAGAGATTTGTATATATAGATATCTATATCAGTATAATAAAAGTCATAAAAAAGTCATGTATTAAATCAATGCAATAACAATTGCGTGTTGGATTGGCTTTTACAAGAGGTGCACGTATGTTTGCCGTATTCTCTCTGTCTTCCTCTCTTTCTGGCGCAGTGGCCAATTCGATAGATTGAATGGCAAAAAACGAGATGCAACACAATCAATTGCCATATTACATTACGTATATGGTCAATTATTATTATTTTTTCAAATAATTTAAATTATATTGTATAGTATTATAAACATTGTTGTTTTTATACGTCCACAAATTGAACATAATGTGTGCTCATTAAGCCGATTATATTGGCATCAGATCAAATATATGTGGATGCATTTATCTGCGATTACAAAGTTGTAAGCATTGGATTATATATCTCATACAAATATTTGCGATGCAATTCTAAGAATGTTATTTTGTTAGCATGGCTTGGATTGATAGGTGCGCGCAAATACATATGCGAGAAGAAAAAAGAAACCAATCATGAAAATCCAATTTCATCACGGAGTGATCTTGTCTCACTAATCTGTTTACATACTCTGATGAACACTTACATTTCAATATAACCACACACGCACATACAAGCACATACAAATTACGAGTATTGAATAGTATCATTTGGTAAGTCAACACTCGCCGAAACAAAACCAGTACACAAATATTTAACAAAATTCAATGGTTTCGTCTTAAATAATTATTTGAAAAAGAAAACGAAACAAAAAAAGCAGTTTTTATTCGTTCTACATTTATTGAGCATCTTTTTAGATTGAATCAGTCACGGAACACCTAATCGCTTTCATCGCTGCAAAAAATGTCTACTGTAGCCTCTGATGCATTGTATCGTCGTTGTGTCTTCTGTAATATCTGAGCCTTGTGCTTTTGCTTCGAATCATGTTGTTGAAAACTCGTACTACTGCTCTCGCATCCAAGACCTTTATTTTTCTCATTCATTTGAAGCGGTATCTGCATGAAAGCGGTATCAATTACAATTTATTACAATTCTGGTTTTCTGTTGCTCTCCACCCATCGAGAGCCGATCACAATTGACTTTTGACTTAACTTACCGGCTCAAGTAGACCATCACTATTTTTTCCCAGCGCTTGACCTGCACTCCAACCAAGCTTTGAAAGCATTTTGAAGCCTTTGTTTTCGCTTGATATCGAACTGCATTTTCGAAAAAAAAAAACAACAACAAAAAAACGTTTTTTTTTTTTCAACACTTGTCCCCAAAATAAATTTCACTTAGTGAATACTTACGAATTAAGTGAAGCGGCTTTGGTTTTTTCATGTTCACAAGAGCTACCAACCTGAAAAGTCATGAAAATTATAGTTTCACGTTGAATTGAGTACGAAATATTTTAACAAACCGTTTGTCGTCTTTGTTCAGCGCGATCATTTTTAGCATCAACTTTCGGTGCCACATATTCTAGATGGGAAAATCCAAATAAACATTGAAATAATTTTTTTGGTTTTGTTTTTGTTTTCAGAATTTATAATCGAAATCATACTTTCATCTTGTAATCCATATCGTTTTTTTAAGTTTTTCAATTGACGCTTGTGGTCATCGCCAACGTTGCCTGGCTTTGTTTTTGTCGAACGTGTGTTGTCTTCCGTTACGGCACTGTATGACGCTGCTGTGTTGTCAGTTAGTAGGCCCGGTTCACATTGGCCACACGTTGAATGGCCATCATGAATGTGACAAAGAAGTTTTGTTTGGCCAATTTGTATGACCGTGCCATGCACTAATTCGATTGGATCACTTTCTTGTTTGGCATTTGACATTCGTTTTCCGTTCATAAAAGTGCCGTTTCGTGATCCTAGATCGACTACTGTGTAACCACTTTGAGCTTCATCATATATAAATTTCAAATGATATTTTGAACAATTTATATCGGGAATAATGACATCGTGTTTACCCTCTCGACCCAGAGATCCGCCTTTTAAATGAAATAAAAAAAAAATGAAGTGAAAACATCAATTGTCATCACAAATGGAAAAAATCGTAATTACCTTTGTACGTAATTAAAAATAGTTCGCCGATTTTTAATTTTCTGATGTTGGTCTCTTGAACAATGATTCGCAGTGATGGTGGATATCGTTTCGCAATATCTGAAATCATAAATTAGAACGTACATTAAATTCGATACGTTCGATCGATTGTTTTGAATTATTTTTTATTGTTCGCGTATTTAGTTTTTCGTTAAAAAAAATTCATTTACTGTTCAATTTTTTTTTTTTGTTTGCTTGTCAATTGACTAACTTTTCACCTGAGTATGCATTGTACGGCGAATGTCGTCCGGAACCTGATGATGAATAACTGTCATCATCGATATCGTAAACAATTTGTTTACGCCGACTAACTGGACTATTTCGACGATTTTTACGCTTATCATAAATGCCATCGTCGCTATCATCATAATCATCTGAAATTTCACCGTCTTCTTTCTGTTCTGAGTCGGATGCTTTGGCCAATTTTTTCGATTTTGGCCGATTCGAATTCGATGGCGAACTAATTTTTTTATCCGAATCAATGGACTTCAAACGTTTACGCTTCGAACATTCACGGTCATTTTTATCAATAATCTGGAATGAGGAAAAAAAAACAAACACGCGAGTTCAAAACATGCTCAAAAACCCACCTAGTGCGTGCATTCGATTGCGTTCAACTAATTGCATGTGAGAAAATTCACTCATCAAGGCATCTACAGCAATCACCTAGAGAGAAATTAGGGAAATAGTGCTTATGCAATGCCATAACTCAAAAAATATATATGCATTTCGCGTACCTGTTCTTCTTTGGCGGCCGCCACTTCTTCCGTCGAATAGACTTGTGAATGAAACTCAAATTTATTCTCGGCTTGATTGTAGGAGTAATAGCAACCATTTTGTCCATCATAATATAAGCCGTGCTCCGCATTATAATAGTATCCCGTTCTGGAATCATAGTACAATCCTGATGTTGGCTCATAGATAAAGCCGGCGTCATTTTGTGCTTGATGTGCAGCATTCTTTATATCTGCAATGAAGTCCGTTGTTTCAGACGGCGTGTCATTTGTTTGGGAGTTTTCTGTTTCATTAATTGCTGAATTTTTCTCCGCTGATGCAGTATTTTTCCGAGTCACACGTTCCTTGAAAAAAAAAAAAAACCAAACCATAAAATAATTAGGTACTATTTAAATAACAAATCACAAAATGTAAGTAAATGTTTCATACTCACTAGTTTCAGAATTTTATCTCTGTACCTCTTGCATTTCTTCAATAACAATCGGATCCGTTTTTGTAGCGATAAAACATAGTAAAAGATTTGGTCTCGCCGCACAGTGTGTAAGTTTGTTTCGGTCAGAAAACGTAATTTAAATATTTTTCGCGTTTTTTTGGAGGCATTTTTTGCTCCAGTTGCTAATTCATCTTTGTCGTTTTTAGACATTTTAATAAGTGAAAAAAATGTGTATTCAAAATAGTAGAAAATTAATAAAATCTATATGAAAACTACAACAATGCAATCCCTCTTGCAATAAAATGAATTTTCTTTCAGTTTGTCTTCTGTGTTTCATCAAATTCGACAATTTTACAAACAATTCACAGTCGGTTTTTAAACATGTCAAAACTGAAGTAAAACCACAAATGTCACAAACATGTTTTTTCCCTTCATTCATCTCATCGATACACGATTATTCCGAATTATACGTAAGTTTTTTTCGAGCTCAAACAGGCTATATTGTACACACAAGCGAATGAGAATAAGAAAGAGAGGGAACGAGAAAGAGTGTTGTGTCGATAGGTAGATTCATAATGTATTGGGACAAAAGTGTACACACTGACATTTTTGACGGTTTGTGTGCATGTATATTTGTGACAAACTGTGGTTCGGTTTTCAGTTGAATAAAACAGCTGTCAAACATTGAGCATACAAGTTATTCATAAAATTGAAAGTGTGGGAAAATGTTTGAGAGCCGCATCGATTTGTGAAGAAAAATGAAAGTGTTACTGATTTTTTGTTGTTTATTTGCATTTGCACAGCAAATAAACGCTATTAAATTAAATTATCCACGCGTTTTACTACCAATTTTTGATAAATTATCCATAAATTTTACACTAGAAGTAATTGAAGGCGGCTGTTTCAAATGGTAAGTGTTTGTTTCAATGTCTCTCGCTGTGTGATCACATAACCTCGAAGTGTGATGATTTCATTGGCATTTGCATGAACGAACATGTTTAATTTACTGTGCATTTGGATAATTACAAATATTTGTGAAATTTTTGGGCGAAAAAAAAAATAAAGAAAAAATAGACGTATGAGTAATGTTTAGCTGAACCTGGATAACCTTTAATCAGCGATGAAATAGCAATTCGTTTTAATGATACGAATTTAATTTGTGATTATGTTCTTGGCATTGCAAAGCGGCTCAAATGTAACGGATTTTATTTTCATTGATTAGGTCGTCATCACGTCCAGATTTGATCACAATTACACCAATTTACGATGATGCAGATAGTATTGAATGCTCGTCCAAAGCCGTGCTAACGACCGTATTCCGTGAAAAACGTCGTAGTACCGCATTTGTTTTGGCCAAAGATTTAGCAACTGGTGAAATTCTACGGAGTGACGTCATTTTAGATGTAATCGACAAACTCGATGTTTTGACAACAACACGTGAATTGTATTTGGAAGAAGCACCCGAAACATTCAAAATTTGGGCACAGGATTCACAAGGTGAGCAATATTTTTTTTGAATAACAAAATAAAAAATATAAAATTCGGCATTTTTTTTTGCTTGTCAATAGGAAATGCATTTACAACGCTTGAAGGCGTCGAATTTAATTGGAAAATTTCATCACAACATCCAGTTGAGGGAAAGGAAAGAGATTGGCAACGTGTTTTGCGATTTTTACGTTTTTCGGAAAGTAAATATCATGATGTACCATCAACGGTTGAGAAATTCGATCGAGTTGGTTTGAAGGGTTATATGGTGCTGTTGGAGGGCATTAATACGGGTTCGGCCAGAGTAAGCGTTGATTTACCTTATGCAGAATATCAGCATATAGTTGCACCAGTTGAAGTGAATATTGTTGTGCTGGCAAATATTCTTCTTGACCCAAGCGACGTGCACATTTTGGTCGGGGATTCAATTTCATTCCGAATTTTGCAGGTAAAACATACTTCTTTCAAAATATATTTAACTAGTTTTTTTTAAGTTCTTCTCTCTAGAGATATTTTTGAGTTGGCTTTTTAATAAAACTTGAAAGTTAATCTCATTTCGAATTTTGAATTTTTCAGTTGAAACAAGGAAAATTGGAAGACATCACATCGAATACCCAATATTATTTGGAGGTGGAAAATTCAGAATTTGCAACGCTCGACGGAAATATAGCCACCGGTCATAAACTTGGTCGTACGGCAGTCATTTTAAAGGATCGAAATGTTGCAAACAATTTGGAAAACACCGATTCAATTCCATCTATTCAAGCAACGCTGACCATTAGCCGTCCCGATAAAATAACCATCAACCTATTGCCATACTACAATTGGTTAACGGTGAAGGGTGAAGAGCATACAATTTCAATAAATTTGTATACAAATGATAATCAATTGATTACATTGGGTGATGCATACAGCATTGGATCGCAATACGATACAAAAATATTCAGTCCATTATCGTCAACAGTAAATGGATCGCATATAATTGGTGAGGCAGTCAGTACCGGTAGTAGTGCTGTGCTTGGATCATTTGAAAAATTGAAAGCAACCGCCGAACTGCAAGTATTTGAAAAATTGGTATTGAATCCATCGATTGTATTTTTACCGTACGATCCAAATCATTTGCGCCGTCAAAAGATCCAGTACAAGGCAAATGGTGGCGACGGTCTTTACACGTGGTCAAGTTTGAATGGAAATTTAATTGGTATCAATCAAAACGGTTTGGCCGAAACACGGACTGGTAATCAAGTGAGCAGCACCAGTTTTGATAAAAACGAGAAAATTTTTACGGATTTTACGCAAATCAAAGTGGCACTGCAACGAAACTCAAAAATCTCCAAAACGGCCGACATTTTCTTTTTGCCACCAACCAAATTGGAAATTGTTCGATATAATTTTGAGACAACATTAAAAGATTTTGTTTATTTACATGTTGCTTTGTATGCCGATTATGATGGTAAATTAGTATCGTTAACTTCATGCGATAATTTACATTTTGAATATGATATGTTGGAGGAAATCTTTCACACAGTTGATAACGCTGAATTGCCGACCGATGAACAATTGCATCCGTCAGCATGCCATTTGGTTAAATTACAATCACACGGACTTGGAAGTTCACACTTTAAAATAAGTTACACGGTTTTCGATCGCATTCTACATGCCGAAGTGAATTTAATGGTATTTGAAAAACTCGACATTTTAAATCCAATTTCAAATGAAATTGTATTACCGATTGGTGCATCCAGAAATGTCATCTATCAAAATGGGCCGCAAAAAGTGTTCAACATTGATGCCGAACTCGTGAAAAATGTACGGATCGATGAAACGATTGCAAGTGTTACACCCATTTCAAATGCATATGCAGCCGACAAACATATTTTGAATGTTCTTTGCCGCAAAGTTGGTTCAACTTTACTCACATTTGAAATCTACAATACACTCTCGGCCAACAATCATATTCCATATGTATCGAAATTTGAAACACATGTGAATTGTGTGAAACCGAGATTCATCAATTTGTATACGGCAGAAAAATTGCGTCAAGGTTGTCCACTGAAAGTGAAAAATTCATTGATGCATGTCCGACAAAATGATAATCAAATCGATATCACTATTGATGTGTTGGATGCACAAAATCGAAAATTACAAAACATTTCATCGCTGATATTGTCATGGCAATTTTTACAAGCTGACGACAATCGGCTCAACTATGACATTGTCTATGAACGCAAGACCGAAGAAGATAGTGTTGCTGGTGTAAAAGTGCCAAAACGCGATTTTCTACTAACAACATTGCCCGAAGTTCACAATGCATTCAAAATTAAAGCATCGGTTGACCGGTATGATCAAGTAATTTTGTATGAAGAATCAATTTACGCGGAAAATCCCGAATTTGGAATAACACAAAGTGGCAAAACGACAGACGACACCAATTTATATAAACCAACCATTGAAAATGAGCTTAACTTTTTGGCTGTGAATAGTACATTGTTGCCATTCGACAGTGTTTCGATATTCCTCGCACCAAACCATCAGCAACGCATTCAATTGATCCAAGGCAGCGGATTTTATGAGATCAAAGTGACCGAATTGAATATTATAAATGCCATAATTGATAATGATCGTCGGCAAATTGTTATTGAACCATTAAGAATTGGACAAGTTCAAATTGATATTATGGATCGGTGTCTACAAACCGAATCATCACGGTTGACTGTGTCAGTCGTTTCAATTGGTCGGATTGAAGTTCAGGTTTGTGTCAGATTCAATTTTTCCATTTCTGCTTGGAAAAACTAAAGTTTCAGATGCTAAGTTTTTTTCTAAAATTTCAGGTTGCTGATCGTGTCGAAAAAACAAAAACCATCGAAGCAGTTGCAAGACTGTACGATTCACTCGACAATCCATTGGAATTGGATTATGATAATTTGAAAATTTATGAATTGCGTGAAAAAATTTGGAATCCAAATGTGCTCAACATTGAAATTGGCCATCTGAACGACTTGGAGACGGGAGAGATTCGCTACTTTATCACCGGTACTGAATTGGGTGAAACAAAACTAACAATTACATCAGGAAGTGGAGAGAAATCAGTTTCAAGTCCGGCATATCCAATTCAAGTAAAAATTTTATTAATATTTATTATCGTTTAAAATATCATTCGTCATTAAAGCATCGAAACCATTTCAATATTGATGTACAGCAGCTCGTTTCGGGTGGTTCTGGTGGACCGACGACGGCAGCACGAATCGCCTCATAAATGACTTCATTGATGTTTTCATTGTGTTTGGACGAACATTCGAGAAATTGATTGGCATTTATCTTTCTCTTGAGTCGTTCACCTTCTTCCTCTTGAACAATATTTATGCCAACGGTTAAGTCACTTTTTGTGCCTGATGAAAAGAAATTTAAAAAAAACACAGTGCAAATGAATAATTATATTTAAAATTGATATCTTTTAAAATAATTGTGAACGGCTGCACAATTTTTGAAAGGCGATTTTTTATCTTCTTTTCACATTAATTAAATGGTATGCATACCAACAAGTACAATTGGTTTTTTATAGGGACGTAGTTCAGGTTCCCATTTGTTTGAGATATTGTTGAATGATTTTCGATCGGATATACTGTAACAAAGCACAAAACAATCGGCCTTAAATAATCTCATGTAAATATGTTCCATTCAAATTGACTGCAATGATAAATCGTTTGAATAAAAATGATCTGGCCTACTTCTTTGTAAACGATTTTCCGTAGTCGTTCGAAGTCCTCCTGGCCCGCAGTATCATGAAGTTTTACCAAATGTTTCACATTGTCCAATGTGAGTTCAGTTTCGTCGCGATCAAATCTAAAACATAATTCAAAACCTTTTACAGTCAACACAACTCAGAGGGTTTTTCTTTCTTGTCTCACACTTACATCGTTGGCACATATGATATACGAAATTCACCTTGGTTACTGTATGCATACAAAATACTTGTCTTTCCCACAGCCCCATCACCAACAAACACAATATTTTTCACCACCAACTCTTCTTTATTCTCTGACATTTCTCTATTCTCCCGAAACGCTGTATCCATAATCGCAAGAAGAAATAAAACAAACTTCTAACACGACCGAAGTACAGAAATGAATAATGTGTCTCTATTTTGTCAAAGCATTTACTATCTGTGTATAATAAGTATGCGTCATAGAATTCACGGAACGCTTACGATAAGCAAGTCTTGTATGCGTTTCTTATGCACGATTATCTTTTTTAAATTGTATATACCGAATGATTAAATTATAGAAGAAGAAAAAAAACATTTACCCGAATCACAATAAATACGAAATTTGTCGACGGAAAGAATGAATATTGTACTGTGATACATATTATCGCGACCAATTAAATAATCATTATACAAAAATGTTATTATCTTATCAAAGAGTAACTTGGCCGTTCAGTAAAGTATACATATTGTTTACACCATTTTCTTCAAACAAAGATATCACACAAAGAAACGCAACATTTCGCAAAAAATACTGCGGTTTTTCAAGACCAAAGAATTTTTAAGATGAACTTTATTTGTTACAAAGTCGGCATTTTGCTAAATAATTATTTCAATTTATATTTTGTGTGGATAGGTTTTTCCTCCATTGCGTTTACTCCCACGTAATACAACTATTGTTATCGGATCATCCGTTCAAATTGAAGCACATGGAGGACCGCAACCAGATGTTAACATCATTTACTCAGTGGAAAATGAGAATATTGTGTGTAAGTAAAGAGATTCGTTTTTATCCGTTTGATAATCAAATTAAAATCAATAACATTTATAATTTGCATTAAAAAAAAAAAATAGCAATGGATTTGAGTGTAGCCAAGGGTCAACGACTCGGTACGACTGTTGTAATTGGTCGTTGCGTCGGAATCAATCCAGTAAATTCACAGAAGATCGTCTATTCCGAAGACAAAATCGAGATAAATGTCGTTCCATTGAACAAAGTCAAAATTCATTCACCATTGAGACGAGTACGATCAGGAACCATATTACCTGCGTCAATTTGGGGCGTGCCAAATATTTCACCACTTGTTTTAGGTAAATTAAACTAAAAGAAGTGATTGAGTTAAAGAGAATACCAAAAATAGCCAAATCTCATCTCGATTGACATTCGATTTCAGGAACGTTAAACTCAAAAGTTCGTTGGTCAACAAGTCAACCAGATGTTATAAAAATCAATGGAATATTCTCTGAAGCTGGCATAGAATATGAAGAACAAGATTCAATTTCGGTTCGATTGAAGGCGCTCAATCCGGGCACTGCTAGAATTCAAGCCGAATTTACAACATCGACCGGCACTCATTCGTGTTTCGTTGAAATTACTGTTTTCAAATTGCTCGAATTGGAATTACCACGACGAATAACAAGTGATGCAATTATTGTTCCACCCAGATCGCAGATCAATCTTAAAGCCAATTTACCAGATGCACAATTTCGATTGGTAGAAGAAACAGTGGGCGGATTGAAAGTGTCATCCGATGGTATTTTACGAACAAGTGATCATATCGGACGTGATCTTATCATTGTAAGTGAAATTCAATAAGACTCTTGTGGCTTATGCTATGCTCAGCTGCTGGTTGGTTTTCAACAGAATCCACCATTTCCTTGGATAACTTCCAGCAGCTGGTGTGAGCAATGCGAGATTTCAAGCGATTTTATTTTTACATATAAATGGTTTTAGAGAAACACTTTTTTTTTCTTCAAATATTCAGCCAGAAATCGCTTGAAATGTCTACAGGGCTGATTTTTCTTTGTATTAAACATGGAATATTGAAAAAATAAATAAATGAATTTCATTTTTTTTATAAAATAGGCAAAATCTGATGATCAAACGTTATCGATACCGATTGAAACAAAGAATATCCACTACGTTTTGGCCACACTTCATACGCCATCATTTAAATTGCGGCAATTAGAGACAAAGATTCCGAGCGGCATGAATATCATTTTGAAAGTGTCATTGCATGATAATTTGGGCAATGAATTTTCGCATGGCATTCAAGACACATCGATTCTTGTACCAAAATTGGCCACCCAAGATGGCATCGAAGTTAATTTCGGCAGTAATTTCACCGTTTCATTGAATCTACCGCGACAAACATCGAATATGTTATCTGTGTCGCTTAAGAATGCTGTTGGTGTTAAATACAATGAAGATTTTATAAAATTATCGGTATCAAAAACAACGAGCAAATTTCCGACGAAAAAAATCTTTTCTGTTGGTGATATCATTTGCTTTGATTCGCCATTGGTGTCGATTGGTGATTGGACATCATCTGATGAAACGGTGTTGCGTGTTGATCGAACAAAGGGAATTGGTGTGGCGCGTGGAAGTCGTCAAAATACGAAATTCGGCGAACAAGTCACCATTACAAATGGCGACGGTCAATATGGATTTATAAAATACGATTTGGAAGTTCGTGAAGCCGATACAATTGAATTCTATCAAATCAATGACATTTTCAACGGAAAAACCTATCAAGCGAATTTAATCATTAAAAATCACCTGCAAATTGATAAATTGTCAAATTTAATTGCGAAAAATGCAACAACATGCCTGGCATCGTTTGAATCATTCCGCGAGAAATTCTTTACATGCGCACTCAAGCAGATCGATTCAAATCAAGGCAATGCAGCCAAAATACTTGATTTACTTAATGTTGGACCCACTTTTGACAAACAATTCGGATCTTATGCTTGTGAAATTGAATTGAAGCCAAAGAAAACGCTATCGGACTTAATTAATTTGGTTCAAGGCGATGATATTCAATTTGAATTGGTTGCATCACTTTCAAATGGCATTTCGACAGCGACAAATATTAAAATTATGCCCGCCATCAATGTTTATCCATTGGAATTGGTTCTTGAACAAATTGATCAACAATCGATTACGGTTACCGGCATTGAAAGAATTTTGCAACGCGTTCAAGTGACATCGTCAGATGCAAGCGCATTTGAAATCGTACCAACAAAGGCGAAAAATGCCATTCAGTACAAGATAAAAACATTGAAAAATATTCCATTGGATGAAACGGCTTTTATCATTGTTAATTCACCGTTGACAATGCAAACCATTCAAATTCCAATTCAATCACTGATCATCGCACAGAAATGTATGAGCCAACCGTTCCAGAGTTTCTCAACTGTTGCTGTAAACATTATTTCGAATATTGGACTCATCGTATCAATGCTCATCATTTTATCGGCCACAATTTGGGGTAATATTATTTACTTTTTAAATTTCTCTAATAAATCCGATTTAAACAATTTTTTATATCTTTTTTTACAGCATTCATTTATTGCTTCTCGTCAAACTCAGCCCGAGTTGAAGGTGAGTAACGATCTTGTTTTATAATTAGTAGAAATAGATCCATCGGAAAAGGTGAAATTGATATTATTTTCGGGAAATGATTGATTTAACTTTAAATCGAATGAGGAAGTTATTTACCTCTCTCTCTGTGGTAAAAGAGTTGAAAGAGTTTCCTTAATTTTCTATGAAAACTTTAACAATTTCATCTTTCTGTACTCATATCAAAATATTTACAAGATCATATGTGGGAGCTTGAAATCTATTCAAAATTTAAGTTGAATAAATTTATAGAAAACCAAAAAAAAAAAACACAAATAAAATCTCATATTCATGAAATTGAAAACAAATCGTAGACCGCATCGTTGACGTTCAACTGATGATGAAATCGTTGCATCGTAAATCAAAGAAATGCGATACAGAGGAACGTTTGGCCAAAACCAAGGCGAAAAATTGTTACAAAGATGGAGATGTTGAACGGGCACGAATCTATGCCGAAATTGTTGTGCGAAAACGTAAAGAATCCCAGCACTATCAAATGCTAAATGCACGCTTATCACCAATATTAGCACAACTCAAGGATGAATTTGCCGGCCGATCAAGTTCACAAGAATGTCAAGAACTTCGGCAACTACTGCAACAAGTCACCGCATTGGGCGAACAAGATAATTTCGATGTGACACAAAATGAAATCAATAGTTTCATTCAAAATTTAAATAATGATCAATCATTTGAGACACTGTATCAAGCTCCCACGTCAAATCTTGTGGATGATCTTGAACAACGTCTGGCTAATTTACGACGTAAAACACCATAAAACAAATAAATTACCATTCAAATTCATGTTAGTCTATAGTTCAATCGAAGTTTCTTTTTTTTTAAATAACAGATTTAATGACATTGTTCTTTTTGTGTGTCTCGATTTCTTAGATCCTTCACCGTTCCAGAAAACACCACGAAAACAAATACCAATTACCAATTTAACATCGTCACGAAGATTATCACCAACGGCCGTTCGACAACCATTATATCCAGGTATGCTTTCGAGCAGGAATATTTTCAATTTTTTTTTTGCATTTATTAATTACAAAACTGATTCCTATTTTTAGACCAAAGTTTTGGCAGCAACACCAGTCAAACGAGCAGTATTTTGCACAGCAGTGCATCGCCAATTTATGGCGATTCAACGCTCATTTCACCAAACAAACGAATGAATCGACGTTATCTTTAAATGTCAACGGGTTTATTAGATATTATTAGAATGTAATTTAATGAATTAAACTTGACACGATGTTAAAAATAATCGTTGTCGATCTTAAATGACTACTCAAGTAAATGAAAGAAAAAAACTTTGTAAAAAGATTAAAACAGCTATTTTTCCAATAAGTTATAGTGAAATAAGAATGACACATGCCATCTTACATCAAATTCGGGCGTTTTACCCAACCATTAAACTATTTACACATAGTTTGTTCTTAAGTTATTCAAAACTATAGATACAAATGTGAAAGAAATATTATATACAGAAATTGGTATTTTTTTCGATTATGTAATCAGATATATTCAACAACAACAACAAAAAAAAACGATACGATACGATATAAAAAAAAAACATTCTAATGAAATTATTCTATTAAAGCACTTCCATTCGATTGGATGAATGAAAAACAGATAAAGTTATGAACATATTCAGGTGAATCATGGGTCCTATTAATAAAAAAAGTACTGCCAATTTGATGAGTAATTTATTCAATGCCAGTCAAAAATGATACAAGGGTCATATAAAAAGACTGAAGTGTAAAATATGATTGAAAGATAACATACATGTTGAAAGCATGATAAGATTATGAGTATGAGCTTCCCAATTATTCTATTTTTATTTACCGAAGTATCGAAATATAATTAAGAATAATTTTTTTTGAATTGAGACTCTCATACTACATCTTACCATACTTAGTGCATTCTAACCGATGCATTTATAGTTTTTTTTTTACATATGCAACTAAAAACTAGATTAAGTGAATTATTTAATGTTAAGGTGGACAGTTGAATGAAATAAAATATGAAGTTTTTCATGACGATTTGTTAAATTCGATGGTTTTTTTTAATTCAAATATTTGATTTATTTCATTTTCAGCTCCAATACCACTACAGTATCCAATAGATGATTAATAATTTTTTTTAAATAATTTTCATACGCTCCTAATGAGGACCTTACATGTATATAATTGAAAGTTTGTGTGTTTGTGTGAGTATTTGTTCCGTGAATTTTACTACATTCAATTCATATTTTTGAAACAAAATTTTCAAACGTAAACCGTCATTTGTCTGTGAGGGATAAAGAACATGCGCAAAAGTCATAAAATATGATTTTCTTTGTTTTATCAATAAATAAATTATTTGAAGTGAATTTGTATTTTTATTTGAAACGAAAACCAATTTTCTCTTGTTTTTTTTTTTTTTTTTGTACAAATACCAAGTGTAAATTTAATTTTATTGAAGCTTGGCTAGTCTAATTTTGCAAGAACTTTTTCTATTCAAAATGACATCTTATAATTCAAAAGCAAATATCCTATTCAAACCTACCCCACTTCAGCCTACACGACAGCAAATTATGGAAATGGTAATTTGAATTTTTCACGCACAATATTACGAGCAAATATAGAATAAGTTCGATAATTTTAATTTGGGGGTAGGTAAAGGCGGCTGAACGGAACTTGGAGGTTGGATTGTACAAAAAACGAAATCGGTTTGTTGATAAATGATTACTTTAAATTGTACAAAAAACGTTACAAATTTGTTTGTTTGATTTGATTTTACAGACTAGAAAATCAAATTAAAACCGAACTTTCTGAATATCAACAAGAAATTCACCATAAATATGAGTTGCTTCATGATGAAGAGCGCCGCATTGAATTAGAAAATTTGGAAAAATCAAAAATTCATCGTCAATTGGATCAGCAAAAATTTGTTGAACGAAAGCAAATTGAACAACATATGTAAGAAATAATATTAATTTGAAAATTATTTTTCGTTTCTTTTTACTTACCTTATTTTTCAGTCAAAATTCTCAAGAATTACGTTTAGAGCGCTCGAGAAAGTTGTTGGAAGAATGTGCAATAGGTCGCAACGAGCAAATTCAACAAAAATTCTTGCAGCAATCGGCCGAAGCCAAAGAAAATGCGTCTATCGTTCAAGAAGCAAGACGTAGACTACTTGAAGAAGTTTGTTATTTTTGCATTATTTTGTAGGCAATTTCACATTGTTCAAACGATAAAATTTTACACATTAGATTCAAAATGAAACAGAAGCTAATATAATCGATAAACAGAAGAAAAGTTGGGAGGCTAGACAAGAGTTGGAAAGGAAATTCACACGAAAAATTGAAGAACAAAAGAAAAATGAGACTGAACTTGAAACCGAACGAAAACTACAACAACAAACCGATGAAGCGTTCAAAAAACGCGAAATGGAAATTAAAAAGAATAAACTACAAGAAATTCAGAGACAACAAGAATTTCTCAGGGTAATTGTTTATTTATCAAATGTAATTGTTTAATCGGCGTAGTAAAATGGCGAAAATGTGACTTGTTTCAGTTTCAAATTGAAACACGGAAAAAAGACGAAGAATATCAGCGACAGCTAGCAATCCAACATGATAAAATGATAGCCGAACTTAATTGGAAACAAATGCAAAAAGAAGCTAACGAAGCCGAACAGGCTAAAAAGAAACAAAATGAAGAAAACGTGAAGTTTATTGATTTTTTCAATCGAATACGATCGGATAAAAAAGATATCCACACCGATCTTGTTGATCTACAAAAATTAAGTTCCATAAACGATGAAATAGAAGCAAATGCTGAAGCAGAACGACAAGAGAAGAAAAAATATCTTAATAAAGAATTAATGGTTTGTCTTATTCATTTAATGGACAGACATTTTTTTTTCAATACCTACTATTAATGTTCAATTTTGTGTCAAAAAATGTTCATCCATAGAAGGAATTTATAAAAAATTTGGAAGAAAAAGATACGGCAAAAAGACTGGAGAAGGAAATGGACATTTATTCATTTGAAGAGACTCAGAAGCAAAATGCAGAATATGAGCAAATGATGGCCATTAGAAGAGCCCAAAATCGTGCCCAATTTGAAAAGGACCTTAAAGATCAAATTGAGTTTAAAAATATGGAAATGGTAATTAAATTGATTATTGAAATTCACAAGTGATAAATAATTCATTTAAAAAAATTAAAAAAATAATTTGGTTAAAAAAATATAAATAAATTAATTCATATTCTGGAATTTTTCTCGTCAAAGAAAAACATTCTCGAGAAAAAAAATTGTTTGGAACATTTTCCGGCATTCGCAGAGATTTTAATTGAACTCATCGTAATTCATTCATTTACAGGCCTATAATATTGAACAAGATGCTAAGTTTCGACAGAAAATGGATGATATGGATAAAGCATCATGTAATTTAACCAAAAAATTGCTCAATGAAGGTATCGACTCTATTCTACCAAAACATCCATTTTACCGATGCCTTTTGGACAAGGAATAAATTCAATTTCATTCAAAGCACTATTCTTAAAAATACAAATCCAATAATCCAAGGACTATTCTTTAATTCTTATTTAATTAAATTGAAGTGAAATCATTCAAATAAAAATCACAAAAATATAAAGACAATTCATTCCAATTTTTTGACTAAAGATTTCTTTTCTTTTTTTTTTCAAAAAGTGTGTAATTTTAATTAAATTTTATTTACATTTTAATTTAATTTGCAGTGTGTACAATTTTCTTACTATAAAATCACAATTTATGTAATTTGTTTTCATCTCATCATTATGTTTCTCGTTTGCACTCTTGTGACACAAAATGTGTATAAATATAAATAATTCAACAAAACATTGTAAAAATTGTGTGTGTGTATGTTTGTGTTTAATTTGAGTGAATGACTCACTTCCAAAATAATAACAACTATCGATTTGTTCGATGTGCTTGTCCATTTAAAAAGCAAAAAAAAAATATTTAGTGGAACAAATCGAAATAACAGCACATAATTTACTTATAATTATTGCAACAATTGCTATGCGTTTACGAGAGTATTGTATGCGTTCAATTAGCGACATTTACTATTTTTATTGTGTAAGTGTCTTACTTAGACCAATGGCGTAATATTTTAAGACAATTTCATTCTAAAAAAATATCGTTTGCTATTACATTTCTATTTTTTCCAAATATACAATTGATGTATATGAAAAATGAATACTATTAAATTTCTTTGCTTGTTTTTTTTTTACGATGATGATGTTCAGCGTGGATGTGTGTATTTTAGTGCGTTGAAGAGTATGCAAAAAAATTTCTATCGTCTCCCCATAGATGACATAGCCAATGAATGGACTTAATGCCATTTAAGCAAATGATTTATTCGCCCGATTAAATCAACCCCAATATCAATTTGTGCTCTCATTTTATTAGAATATTGCTACCCAAAATTGGAACTTCATTTGCTTCAATTAATTTTGGAATTTTCGCAAAACCATTTGTATCCTCATTGGATGCAGTCAATTCGAAATCGTTTTCTAACTCTTCTAGTGCTGAAACAAATCACAGAGGAAATCAATTTAAATAAGATAAAATAATCATGAGGTGCTCAAAAAAGAGCAGCAGAAACTTACGAGCATCATCTGGTATTTTATCACTAAATCGGCACGCAGCATTCACATGATCATTAAACACATCCGGTTTATCGGCAAATATATGGTGGCCAGCTCCAGATATAACCTATTTGAATATTGGAGCACATTGTAAATAAATTCATTAATAAAAATATCGATTCAAAGTAGAAAAAATACTCACTTGTGTATTAACAATGCTGGATGGACGCGCCTGCTTCACTAGATCCCATGACGATTTATCGATCCAGCTTCGTGATCCGTAGAGCAATGTTATTGGCTTATCGGAACGAAGTTCATGGATACGATTTAGCATTGGATTTTTTGCCCATCCAAAACCAGACATCATTGCATGAAATGCACTCTCGCCTCTGCAATTAAAACATGCATACAGTATTGAATCGTTATCATTTTTCTCTCCCGTTCAATAAAAATTTAAAACGCAATGTGAGACTTACGTTGGATTTTGAGAATTACACTGATGAATATATTGTGCCATTAAATTATTGTCCTCGGTATTGTGTTGTTCAACGACCTCTTGGAATTTGCGCAGAATATCTGGTCTCGTTTTTTGTACAACCCATTGGCCATAGGATCCGGCTAAACAAATATTTGCATTATCATTATTTCGAACATTTAAGGAAATTATAAATTTCACTCAGTAAATGTGTCACTCTTTTACCTGCCCTAAGAATCCACAAGGGATTTGCATTTCCATATACTTTGGCGATGGCACGAACCCAGAGTGGTGCAGCTATTTCTTTTGGACGTTCTGGAAAACCCCATGGATCAGCCAATATTAAATGTTTCACTCTAAATACAAATCCAAAAAAAAAAAGATCGATTATTAGCCTTGAGCACTAGTTCGTGTTTAATTTAAAAGTACCTGTCTGGATATGAAATTGTGTAACTAGTTGCTAAGAATCCACCCATCGAATGTCCCAATAAGATCATATTTTTGATTTTCATCTCACGTCGCCACTCTTCTATTGAGTTGACTAGTTGTTTCTCAGCAATCATTGCATCGGATGAAAATGTTGGCCTTGAACTTCTACCAAAACCTGTTATCGCATAGAATCAAATTTATTGACATTTTTTTTATCTTCAATTATATTTTAAATCACAGACTACGATCGGTAATGGTTTTATGCGAGTGAATAACAGACATTTAAAATTAAATTACCTAATATATCAATTGCATAAACGGGTCTGTGTTGAGCCAGTGAATCCAAATTTAGAACCCAAAATGCAACGCCAGCACCCATCCCGTGCAACAGAACGATTGGTGTGTTCCGAAGTTCGGGTCCCATTGAAATGGTCCATATTTTATCAGCATTACCAACGGTCGGTCCAATATCAACATACCAACCTCTGTATGGCGTTTTCAAAACTATTTGAAGAAATCGAGAAAATACACGTGGACGATTAATTACAAAATATTTTTTATTGATTTTTTTCGTCATTAAATTTGCGACAGAAAAAAAAAATATATATCAAATATTCGCACTTACATGAAAGTAACTTTTTTTCCGCTGTACGAAGCATCCCTTCAGATGATGCGCTTGTCGTCCAATTCAACCAGCACAAAAATCCGCTGAATGCAAAAAAAGAAATATGTTTTAAATGAAATTTCCGGAAAAATCGCGCCGTTTTGATCGCAGTTTATAATAGTCTATTTTTCAATTTATTATCGTTACACTATCGTCTTATTTATGATGAATTCGCAGTATAATATGATTTTTTATTTGAGAAAAAAAATCCCACTTCCCAAATACGTAGAAATAAATATATTATTTCACAACAAATCGAATGAATGAATAGTTTTTGTGATAGAGATTAAGACAACACCAATATCGCATAAATCAATAGAGCTCACTGTGTATTTTTATTTCTCTAGAAATTTGTAAACAACCTGGTGCAAAAAAAAAGTCGCACGATTTTTTTTGTTTTA